ATCTCAAAGTCAGATTGATACATAGCATCCATGCTCCAAGAGAAATATTGGTGCACATCATCCATTAACCTATCTTCAGCACGGTCATTCGAGGTCTTCCGAAGTTCGGACCTTTGCAAACGTTGAGTCATGCGATTAACTTCGTCGCAAATATGATGCAATGCCCTTTGCAACAACTATGGAGTGTCAATTGGCATACGCATGGCTAATCGTCGAGGAAATTTAATATGAACTTTACGGCATAGCTCAACAAGAATGCTTGCTCGAGTTATGCGAAATTTCCACTTAGTTGTCATGGTATTGACAGTGTGATATGAGTAACACAAATTTAGATTTAATGGGTATTCGAATTCATCTCCATCTGCAACCCAATGACGAGCCATTGCTGAATATAGATCAACTATTGTATATGTCATGATGATATCTCTCAGTTTTTCTATAAACAGGTAGGTCTAGTATGGTGTGATACTTATAGCGGTCATTGGGAAAAGTAGTTCCAACATGCAGAATGCATAAAATGAAGATGGATGCGATTACTCATGTCTTCGCAATTCGACATGCTGACAATGACTTGTCGTTACAGTAAAGTACACATGAGAGTTGCATGGTTTAAATTGTTGTAAGAGTGTTGTCATGTCGACCTTTATGACGTGAAAAAATGTGCATCATCTTTATACGAGTTGTCACTCCCACATAAATTGACTAGTGAGTCTATATTAGAGCGTTTCAACCTGATAAGTTTCACATGATAGCTGTGTTTTAAAAGTTATTATAAGAGCATTGTCACGTCAACCTTTATGACTTGGAAAACCGTGCTTCAACTTTATAGAAGTTGCCAATTTGACAGATTTCAAATTCACACAGTTTGAGAGGGTTTTTAGCATATTTGAAATTCACTACTATAACAACCCCGACCTATGATTAACATTAATCCATGATTAATTATGCCTAACAGTAATTAAGGAAGGAATTTTGAATTAATTTTCATGTGTGTGTTGCATTATCTGTGTTTATATCTGTTTTGCGTAGGAAGATCTGTTTGTGTCTTAGTTCGATTTGCGAATTGAAGGCCTCATTGGCATCCGATACAGAAATTGATTTGATTTATGTGTTAATTAGAATTTTCAGAATTTTATGGTAGGTCCAATTAAAATTCATTTCGGAACGATTAAATAAGATTAATTTAATCCCACTTAGTTGCCTATGACTTAAACTAATTAAATACCATTATTTATTTATTTATTTGAGCCCCACTCATCTTGCCTTTCCTATAATTGATTATACACTCTTGAGCCTATACAAAAACGTGAGAGAGAGGGAGGAAGAGAAGAAATTGGAGCTCAACCAAGGGTTATGCTAGAATTGTTGAAATTGGGAAGATTTAGCTTGGAACCTTAGTGTGCTCATCATCTAGATCTTACTTGAGAGGTTGAGGCATGAATTCAACACTTAGATTATATAATTGTGATGTTAAAACATGAATTCATGAGGATTAAGTTGAGTAATTTAGGATGAGCAAAAAGAATGAAAGAACATAGATCATATCATGTATGCATGCATGTTTCATAATATTTTGAAGTTGATTTCAAAGAATTCCCTCATGCATGTCTTGAATTCACTTTGATTGTGGGTAGATATCAAGTTTTATGTTGTTTGGTAGCATTTGATCATGTTTTGAAGTGAGTAAGTACAAGAGAGTTCATGCATGTTATGTTCTTGAACATTCATAAAGTTTAATGTATGCATGCATGTTTCATAACATTTTGAAGTTGATTTCAAAGAATTCCCTTATGCATGTCTTGAATTCACTTTGATTGTGGGTAAATATCAAGTTTTATGTTGTTTGGTAGCATTTGATCATGTTTTGAAGTGAGTAAGTACAAGAGAGTTCATGCATGTTATGTTCTTGAACATTCATAAAGTTTAAGTTGAAATTTTGTACAATTAGCATGTCTTTGGGCCATGATTTCTTGAAATGATCCTTTAAACATGTTGTTTTATGAGTTTCTAAGTGTTTTTTTGGAAGTTTTGGCTCAGAAAAATGAAGTTTGATGTTTTAATGTATGGGTTTGAACTTGAAGATCAAATCTGAAAGTTCCAGAAATTTGATCCACGCTCTAGCGGGAGAGTTCACGCTCGAGCGAGCACTCTGAGTACGTGCACTTTCGCTCGAGCGACGTGAGTCACGCTCGAGCGTGAAATGCATATACCTAGAAGTTCATATGTTTTACAGTCCACTCGAGCGAGGGAAGTCACGCTCAAGCGAAGGTCTGAGTCTCACGCTCGAGCGGAGGTCAAGCATCCGTCGAGCGTGAAAATCATGCATCCAGTACTTTTTCGAAGATTGCAGTCCGCTCGAGCGAGGAAAGTCGCACTCGAGCGGAACTTCACATTTCACATGTCCGCTCAAGCGAGGAAAACCACGCTTGAGAGTGGACCCTGTTTTCAGCAAGTTTTTGAAAATGTTTCCAAGTACATTTTTGCATCCTCATCCCATCCTGGCCATTCCTAGGCCATGATTAAGACTCCATAATGAGGTTAAAAGCTAGAGACACACTAAGAATAATTAAGTAAGTTATGTGCATTTCAAACGTGTGTTTCAGGTGTGTGTGTTTGTTATGTGTTCGTGTAGGTCGTATGCTGTAAATCATTTGATTAGTCTGCTCTGTCTGTCTGCACCCGAAGCCAACTGTGAGTAATAACATAGTAAAGTTATGTCCAACTTTATTTATTTTTTGTACGATGAAATAAGATTTGTTTTCTGAAATACTATGTTCTGTACAATGAATGGTTGTTCAATTTCTGACATGTATTCGTGGCATCCTTAGCATTATGTGATATCTGTTAGCTGTTATCCGGGATCGGAGGTCCCATTATGGGACTTATTATGTCTGTCATCTATTACTCGTACCAGAGGCTCCATCATGGGGTTCAGCATGTTTATTCTCTGTTACCCGGATCCGGAGGTTCCTTTATGGAACTGGTTATTCATAACCACGATATGTTTTGCATCTGTTCTGTATCTGTTCTGTTAGCGCTAATGGATGTACCACGTATATTTAAACATGAACTCTGATTTTCGTGTATGATTTGATCAAGAATATGAATATGAATCTGAATCATAATTTATGAATCTTTAAGGACATCAATCATTAAAACCCTTTACTCTGTTATTATTCACTGGGCTTCCGCTCACTATTAATTTTATACATGTAGGTGAGCCGGCACGTGATCAGGGTCAGAGTTGACGGCCTATGCTTTAGTTTCTTTTGTCAGCCAACCCTTGCGCCTCCCGAGGAGGTTCCGGATGAAGTCTAGTCTTATGGCTGTTTTTGTAATCAATGTAGACTTTGTTGTTGTTACAGTCGTGAGTGAGATTTTGACGTGTACGTCTAAGTGTGTTATGTAAATACTATATATGCTGACTTCACCCGTAAGTTTATAAAGTTTCAAGCTATTCTGTCCCATGTATGTCATCACAACTCATTGAACCTTGTTTATTTTATATATTTGCTTCCGCAGCCCCTATCTATATGCTAATCTATCATGAGGCCTTCGGTAATCCAAGGATTACTGGCCGGTTACGATGCTAAACCCATAGGGGTGGGTTCGGGTCGTGACAACTACTCAAACTTTCTAGAAGAACTAAGCATTTACCAATATGTAATAAATTTCAAAGAAATGACTAAATTGATAAAATGGCCTTCCCTCACGTAATGAATTGTTTTAAAATAGAAAAACAATTTAGCACATCCCTTCCGCTTCAAATCAAACAATTTAGAAACGAATTTACATCAACCAAGCCAAGTACATAAAGAAATTATTCAAAAAGTTTGGTATGTATGATTCAAAAATAGCCAGAACACCAATGAGCACATCAATTAAGCTACACAAGGATGAAAAATCAATTGAAATTCGGAGCACATCAATTAAGCTACCTATAAGCACATAAATTAAGCAACCTATGATCACATCAATTGGAGGACTTTGATTTGTATTATGATCATAGCCCTATTAAATATGATAATACTATTGGCATCAATCTAAGCAAAAATCAGATTCAACACTCACGAACAAAACATGTTGAAATTTGACACCAGTTTTTAAGAGATCATGTTAAAAAATGATATTATTCTTGAATTAATAAACACCGACAATCAATTGGCAAATTTTTTCACAAAACTCCTAAGTGAGGATCGCTTTATTTTTATTCGTGGCGAACTTGGAATATCGAATACTACTTAAAAGGTTTTGTTATAAATGTGAAACTCGAATTTTTTATAAAATGATGTATGTGTACTGTTACATTGATATGGAAACATTCATATCAGTTAAATGATATCAAGTCTCTCATACATTTCTTTTGTGTAACAGTTTCGTGTTATCAACTTTGTAGCATTTTTCTCTCTATCTGTTAATCTCTTCTGCATCTTTAAATTAATATGAATTTGCATATACTTTTTTACTTGTTTAATGTCTTTAAACCTCATCATCCTCTGTAGCCCCAAATAGCCCTTTCATCTTTTTTACTTGATTTGCATTATAATCACATCCCTATTAAATGTGATAATACTAGTGCCATCAACTTAAGCAAAAATCCGATTCAACACTCACAAACAAAACATATTGAAATTCAACGCCACTTTTTAAGAGATCATGTTCAAAAAAGGGCTATTGTTCTTCAATTTAAAAATACCGACAATCAATTGGCAGATATTTTCAGCAAACCCTTAAGCGAGGATCGCTTCAATTTTATTCGTGGAAAAATTGAAATGTTGAATTCTAGTTAAAAGGTTTTGGTGTGAATGTGAAATTGGAATTTTAATACATTGATATGAAAATATTTATATCAGTTGAATGGTATAAAGTTTCTCATAAATTTATTCTTCAACATCATTCTGATGGCAATCAATTTGTTTTTATTATTGTGATTATGATTTTATCTATCCAAAAACCTCTTTTGCATAAGCCCTAGCCACAACCAAAAAAAGACCTTAGCAACAAAACAGCTTAGCAACAAAGCAGTACTGTAGGAGGAAAAATTTTTAGCTGGACCGGTCGTCCGAGCGAAGAACTGGGCGGTCGACTAGTCCCCACCTGGACAGATTTTTAAATATTGCAAACCGACTGGTCTATCCAGATTTTTCCCCTCTTCTTCGACATTCTGTGCCCTAGCTCTCAAACCCTCATATTTTCTTCTCTTATAACTCTCTAAAATCACATTTTCATAAACTCTTTGTGTAAATCCAAGTAAGTTTTCCTACATTTCTTGTTTTCCCTCATTATTTTGGTTGCAAACTCCATGATTTTACTTGTGTAATCTATATATGGTGGGTTTTGTTAAAAATTGAAAATGGTTAAATGTTTATCTCATTTTTGTTTACCCCTTGAATATTTTGCTTAGATTAGCATAGTTTGATGTTGCTTAGTTCATTTTTTTTTATCTTTGTGCTTGATATTTGGTTTAGCCGTGTATACTTGTCTTCATCTATATATGCATTTATATATATATATATATGTACATGGCCATTTGTCCTGGTTGTAAAACTTTAGTTGAATTCATTTTTTTTTATATATTTTCCTCAATTTTGCATTTATTTTGCACCTCTATGCTTAGAACCTTGTCATATTTATCAAATTGCTTATTTGCCTTTTTGCCTAAATATCAATTCTTAATTGTTTCCATATCCTGCATATGTTTTTTTTTTATATTTTTTTTTACAATGAAACTTGTATTTTCTTTATCCATCAGTGCATGAAACATACTAATTTTTTTTTACCACTCTACATTTTTTTTGGCTCTCACAGGTTCTGGCACACAAGTTTTTTTGTGTGTACCTAGTCAACCATAACCTACAATACTTTCATATATCTCTCTCTTTTTGTTTTGTTTCGTTTAAATCCTCAGCGACACTGAATATGAACTCATCATATGTGCCTACCTTTGTTAAACTCATTTAATGGCCTTGATTTATTTTTTTAACACTAGTGAAATGGTTGTTCCGTTTTGTTTTGCCAACAGTTATGGCTCCTCGCACTAAGAAGCCGCGAGCCAGATAGGAAGGTCAATCTTCACATCCAGCACATGAATATCCAACTACTAACTTCCTCACCCCAGTCCAAGAGCAAACATTTGGTGCCATGTAATCTCGCTCCATCATTAAAGGCCGCCGAGTTAATCTTGCCTCAAAGTATGATGCTCTCTTAATGAGTAAACTTGAAGCAATGGATTGGCAAAATTTGGTAAATTTGCCGAAAAAGGTATATCCTCGTCTCCTCGCCTTATTTTATGTTCACCTTTAATCTTCTGATATCGACGAGGACGTTTACACCAGTAACTCCTATGTGAAAGGCACTTTTATTGAATTTAATGTTCCCACTTTGGCCATTATTCTCAATGTTGACACTAGTCCTCACCAAATCTATTTCCAAACTGAGGCACAAATGGCTCAAATTGTGGGTAATATAACTGAAGTTTATACAACCATTTGTCTTAGCATAACCACCGGCTTTAACCTTCAAGCGAAACATCTTAAACCCCATCTCTGCATTCTTCATCGCTTTTTACTAGAAAATGTAACTCCCAAAGCCAATCATTATGATGCTATTCCTACTTTTAATGCCTATCTCCTTTATTGTTTTGAGATTGTGTATCCTCTTCATTTATGCTACATCATCATGAGGGAAATGGACCTTGTTCCTACATCGCGTGACAAATCATTAGCTATTGGCGCCTTGTTGACAAAGCTCTTTAAACACTTCAAAATCAAATTTTCCAAAGAGCGCGAATCACCTATTGCCTCAGATATCAGTGAATACATCATCAACCGTGTTGAAGGCAGTGATGTTCTACTAGGAAGTATGGCTGCTCCTGACATTTCCATGGAGGATCCTCAAGATCATCCTCTAGTTGCCATGCCACCACCCTACCAACCGCCTTCTCCTTATTGGATGGATTTTTTATCAATGGAACAGGACCACTACAATCAACGCCTCGCATGGGAACAACAAATGATTTAACAATTTGGCGCCCTCAACACCCGTGTTGATCATATTGAGGCCCGGGTTGATGCCATCTATCACTATTACATCCCTCATCCATTTCCAAATTCTGAGCAGTGATTTCTAATTTTTGTTGATAATATTGTGATGTTTTGTTTTGAATTGGTAAAGGAAAAATGCTGATGGTTGTTTTTGTATAATGTTATGTTTTGCATTGCCTTCTAAAATACTGTTATGTTTTTGGTACCTTAGTTTTGGTATGTTATTTTGACTAAACTCCTACATCTATTGTTTGTTTGGTTTGGTATCTTAAATCACACATTCATTAAAATCATATTGATTTCTAATTAATATAAAATGAATATATTTTAAAATCATTATATATTTTCTTTAATGAATATATTTTAAAATGGATATATTAATATAAAAGCTGTTAAAATTAGTTTGATCACACAACTGTTATATATTTTCTATTTGACACTATCATTATATATATATTGTTGTATAATTAATATAAAATGAATAAAATATGTTTTTGGCATTGTATGTTATATATAATACTACTATTTGTTATAAATATCAAAATATGACTTTTTTGCCGAGTTGATTCTTAAATTGTTGGTTGTTCTAATCTCTCGATACGCACCCTGACAACTGAAGCTCGTAATACATTTAGAGTGACCTAATTTCATAACTTTGTTTTAGGAAGCTTGTTGTTGTTTTTGAAATAAATCAATGATCTTCTGATTCCTATTACATACAAAAAAATTTAATCATCTTCTACACGCATCAAATCAGATTATTAGTTGACATAGTTTGAACTTTCAAGGCTAGGCATGTCATATGGATAAAGTCATAACACAAATAATTAAGTGAAATTATCCCTACAGATCATACATGAATGAAAATCATTAAGCTACAGATCATATTAAAATTTGTAAATATAAAAAAATGTAAGAGTCTGAGATTGTAAATGGTAATGCAATACAGAAACAATCAAATGAATGAACACATAAGAAGAGAACAGAAGAGAGAGAAAAAGGGATAGATGTATACTTTATTTTATCTTTCTCTAACTATTTTAGTCTTTTAATCCCAAAATTCTTCATGCCAAACGAGAGCTCAAATGTTGGCCTAAATTACATTTGGAGGTTTATAAAAAATATAATAATTTATATAATTGTAATTTTAATAAAATTATAAAGATTAAAATTAATACAAATGATATGAAAATTTAAAAATTTAAAAATATATAATAATTGAAGATTTTTATATTCATATGATTTACAAATTTATAATAATTGGAGATTTTTATATCCATATTTTTGGATTGTAAAAATAGTGCTTAAATAGGCCAGCACAGTAGCAGCCGAAGCAGTCCAACCCAAACGGGGCCAGACGGCCAGGGGGACATCCGGCCAAGGGATTTTTCCAAATTCTACTACTGTTCAGTTTTGATTTGCATCGGTTGTCAACTCAGCAGTATACTCGACAATCGCGGAAGTCATCTTCACGACTGGGAGCCCACTGGACATCCGGGCGGACGTCCCTAAAGTAAAAAAATTCATTTTGGACAGCCGGTGGATGACCACTCTGTAGTGCAACCACTCTGTAGTGCAAAGACTGTTTTTGAAATATACTTGTCATCAATCACCCTCCTCGATTTAACCAAAATCTTACTTAATCTTCTCAACACAGGCAACAAACAACTATCGATGATTTTTCACTTCATAAATAGCAAAGCTTCTACTAAATAAAATACAACAAGCAACAATACAAGCAAGAAAATAACTTAAGATTGATTATATTACATTCAATAATAATTAGTTATGTGACCCACTACTTGAGGCTGTTACATTGCTATTTGGACATCTCCTCCGATTATGACCTTGTTGCCCACACAATCCACAATTTTGTTTGGTTTGAGACTCGCGCCAATCCATAGCATTTTGAAGTTATGTTGTCCTGGGACGACCACTTGTCCTATCAAGGTTCAGATTAGGATGGAGTTTTGGAAAGTTAGGCTCTCGCCAATAAGCAGCATCAACTACAGGATTAAATGAGTGTTGATAACATGCCATTTATGCTTTCAGTGTGTAACATTCATCAACATATTGTAGGTGGTCAAGGCTGGCAAATTTACATACTGCAATGACATGAGAACATGGGATTTTATAATTCTGCCATTTTTGACAGTCACATGTTCTTTTCATCAAGTTGACCACATGAAGATGCAAACCCCGATTCGAATATAAGGGGTTCACTGCAGTTTGAACATCAAAAATACCCAAATTCATATTGAAACTCCGCACTGAATGACCCCTAGACTTTTTCTCCCATTTGGTGAGCATTTGTTTTGCATAAGCACTGTAAACTTCACCGGCGTGCATTTCAACATTGGCCTTATTACATCGTTCCTGAAAATAACTAACACATTTATAAAAAGTTAGTTGTACCAATGCTGTGATAGGAAGATGTCGTGCACCCTTTAATACTCCATTGAAGCTTTCAGAAAGGTTGGTAGTCATAGCTTCATAACGTTTGCCACCATCATGTGCTAGCGCCTACAGTTCAAGTGGCACACGATCAAGTTCATCTGTAACTTTGGAATTTAAGTCTCTTATTGACTTTATTTCTGATCAAACTTTTTTTTTTTGATACTCATAAGTTACCGAAGTGATCATGTCTCGCAATATCGCATTGTTGTACTTTGCATGGGTTGCTGGCAAGATGACTAATGTAGTACCGATGGTAACCATTTGGATGTTGCCACCAACGTAAGCGATTCACAGATGAGAAGATTCGTCCATGTTTGCCAGATAAGAGACAGAGGCCAGTCCATTGTGTCACGTACTCCCTAATGCATGTTAGAAACCATGATCAAGTATCTAGTCTCTCCTTCTCCACAACGGCAAAGGCAACTGGAAATACATGATTATTTGCATCCAATAAAACTGCAATTAGTAACTTACCTTTATATTTTCCAGTTAGAAAGGTTCTATCGATGCTGATGACTAGCCTACAATGTTTGAAACCCTCAATAGAAGAATTGAATGCCCAGAACACTTGTTCAAATATAGCGTTATTTGCAGCATCTGACGGCATTGTTTTCCATGAAACAATAGTTCCTGGATTGGAATCCATCATAGCCATTATCCATTTTGGTAAGATGTGGTATGATTCATTTCAATCCCCAAAGATATTTGCAATGGCTTTTTGCTTTGCATTCCACGTTTTATTATAAGATGGTAAGAAATCATCAAACTTTTGCCTAATACTGGCTCTCATGATAGAGATCTTGATTGATGGATCCGCCTTTACAAGCTCTCGCACTTCGTGCTCAATTAACTTTGTGGTCAACATTGCATGATCTTGTGTAAGCGTTGCAGATACACATGTGTGAGGTCCTTCATATTTAGTAATCTCAAATAAACCATGTTTGATACGCTTACATGCTTTAAGCTTCCATTTGCACCCATTTTTGCAACGCAATTTCCAAAAGTCTGTTGTTGACTTCACCACTACATGGTAAGTGTTTCTCATCATGCCATAACGCTTTACTGCAATTTGTAAGTCTTCCTTGTTTTGAAACAATAGCCCTTTGCTTAACTTCTTTGTTGCATCCCATATCCCAGTGACATCAACTGCCAACGGTATGGACGGATCATTAACACTTGACCATGTATCCTCAGTAAACATTGGAGATGGGACTTGGTGAAAAGCACCAAAACCAGTCTGTTCCCCTTCAGTTGATAGACCAACTCCTTCATTCGCATCGTCGTTTTTAGGGTCCAAACCATCATCCGCTGGGACGTGGATGTCATTTGCAATCATTTCTTGTACAACATATGTGGTTGTTGCACACATTTCATTGGTGGACCGTGGTTGAATATCTTCTACCTCATCAGAGTTAACGCCGGTAGGTACAATGTACGTAGGTTCGAAATGATCACCATGGAAGTCATGACCGGATGATGCAAAGTAATTAGGTTCGAAGTGATGGTCATGTGTGTTGATTGGGGAATACACATCCATAGGAGTGTGTTCACTTGTACCAAGCACATCAACATTAACATTAGTATAAGGAAAAACATTAATGGTATAACACCCCATAATATTTAATTAATTTGAGCACCGCGAATAAAAAATAAATTGTTGTGACGTCGAACCTCTAGGTACCGGGTTTGGGTCGTGATAGATAGGCTCCATAGTGATATATAACTCAGCAATGTTGTAACTAGGAGTTGAGTCAATTAGATCAAATATACCCTCAACACCATCATCATCTGTGATTGCAAGTGATGTGTAGTAGACAGCATAAGGGTAACTTCTGAATGGAAATCTGTATATAATAAGGACATTCCCACCATTGTGGTCTATCCCTGTAGCATCGATTAATCGATTGCAAAGGTCGATAAACAACATATTTCGATTAACTCGTATCCATTTTGGATCAGGACCCTCATATGCAATTCCACACGCATCATTAATTATTCCACCATTATAGTATATTGCAAGATTGTATTGCTTTCCTTCTATTGAAACTAGAAAAACAAATCATCAAACACAAAACATTATTCAAGAATATAACCTTAACTAGAAAAAAAAATATATATATATATATAAATAAATAATTTTGTGTTAAATGAATAATTTGCCTATGTAATCTTCATGAAAAAGATTATTGTCTTGGAAGCTTTGTCTCTTGAAATGTTGAAGCTTTGTCTCTTGAAATGTTGAAATATAGTATTTGTAGAAGGAATAGTTGAAGAGTTTGAGTTTGGCGTTTACCATGTGTTTGGGAGTTAAATAAGCAATAAAAAATAAATTCTCACGATTTGACATTGACAACAATCTTGCTTGTTACCAATGAAGAGAATATATTTTCAGTGTTGTATAAGTTTTTTTTTAAAACATTTTTCGAGAATCCCTCACGATTTGACATTGACAGGAGCACTGCATGTTACCAATGAAATCGTATTTTCAACATGCAACGTCACTTGAAATCGCAAGTTTAACATGTAACTTCAATTGAAATCACATGTTCAAAATGTAACTTCAAATGAAGTTGTATTTTGAACGTGTGATTTCAAAGGACAAGAAAATTATAAGAAAAATCGTTCACAGAAGCGATGGCAGGTGAAATCGCATGTTTAACATGCAATTTCACGAGACGTTGCATTTTGAACATGCGATCTCAAGTGAAGTTGCATTCTCAACATACAATTTTAATTGAACCTGCATTTTCAACATGCAATTTCGCATATTGAGGATGCAATTTCAATTGAAGTTGCATGTTGATCATGCGATTTCAAGTGACTGCAAGTCCAACCACCGCGTACTTCAAATTGTACTTTAATTGATTTGTTGCAGTATTATGGAAGTAGGTAGTAGTATGGAAGTAGGTAGTAGATAAGACTCTGGACATAGATTGAATTGATTCAGTTAGTGCTAAACTCAAAACTAAATTAACCAACCAATCTAGTTTCCAATTTTTTATGCCTTGAATCAAACCATCCCAACTTAACTGGGGTTGGAATCAAAATTCCATATTAAACTTGTTTTTTGAATGCTCATTATAAAATACAATTTTACAAAAAAAAATAAATAAAACTAGTTTTCATAGTGAAATTGTTAAGGTCTAAAATTTACATAATGATAATGGTAACTTTCACATAAAGTGAAGTTAGAATGAATATATAAAAATGTATGTAATATATGTAATATGTTTTTATTGCATCTTAACCATAGTACTAATAATCCAATTCTCCATTCCATGGCAATTCTTTTATCCTAGTGTATAATTTTATATCCATAGTTTCATCAATTATCCTATTTTTTATTCTATTCATTCTCATAGTAAAACTTATCTTCCATAATTCTATAATAATTCCATTCATATCCAATCTCGTAAAAAATAATCTTCATGTCAAATGAGTCCACAAGTACTAAAGATAAAAAATTAACATTATTTTACAGAAGTAAAACAATTCTTCCATCTAAATCTCCAAACTATTATTTAAGCATGATTGCTAATACTAAAAGGTCATGAGTTGCACAGCCACTAGCTCGGCCATGGAACTGAGCATCATCCAAAAGTTACTGGACTGTTTAGATTTGAAAAAAAGAAATTTAAAAAACAGCAAATCTTGGAAAACTATGTTGTTTTGTTCTCACTACTAATATATACAAGCATATGTCTCATGTCAATCATCGACTAACAAACACTAGATGAGAGCAATAACCAACAAGATCTACATCCTATTCCAAATCCAGAATTATTGATCATGTGCACCACATAACAAGAATCTAACATGTAAGCCATCAATGCCTTCCATTGATATTCCACCAGTTCGCTAAAATGAGTAAATTCCATTCCACTCCACAAGTTCTCTTTACAAAATTTGAGGTTGACTGCTCTGAAATCTCATCAATGCTTATTCATAGATGGCCTCCAAATAACTCACAGGGATTTCTGACGGAGAAGACAAAGCTATAACACCCTTGAATTGTTCAAAAAAAGAAAATTCAAATTAGATTATCGCTTGTACATATGAGATAATGTCACGGCCTAAATTGCTAAAGACCCGACTCCCATAAGTTTCTGCAACTTGTGTTTTTGTGTTTGTTGATAAATAGCATTAGTACTGGAAGTTAATGCCTATAAAAGAAACTCAACCAATACCCAAGTAGTTGCATCTAATTACAGGATCTACATCTCCTCAGAAAAGATAAGAACTTGTTTGTTTTTGTTTTCATCATTTTCCAAAAAACATAATGTAAAAAAAAAATTACCTAGTTTGGCAAATTGTTTCTGGTGAGTGTTTTTGAAAGTTGTTTTCAAAACTGTTGTTTTTGGCAAACTGAAAAGTTGTTTTTGAAAACTGTTTTGCCAAAAAAATGATAATAATATGAAAACAATGAGTGTTTTCGTACTGTGTTTTTATTTCCAAAACCCAAAAGCAAAAATGAAAACACAACCAAACATGCCCTAAATTTGTGAGTTCATCAAGCTACAACAGTACAAGATGAAGATGGTACACTGTCATCCAATACAAAATGAGATACCTTATGCTGCATGTATTACTCAATTGCAAATCATGAATGGAAAGGACGCATTGTTTCAATTTTGATGGTCTATAATCTGAGTAGTTTTCCAGTGCTAAGTTATGTATTTATTTTACAGAGCTAAAGCATAATTGTTGACATGATCTTTTAGTTAGTCACCAAGGGATTCGTAACTTTTTGCAGTGTTTTCACAAATTAAGTTTAGCGAAAATTTTCTAAAAGAATTCTCTAGTTGCCCTTTAAGATTCAGTAACCTATTTCCTGACCTACCAGCTTAAATCTTCAGCACAAGAAGACAATTTTGCATACTTGTCTAGTTACATATTGAGACTACAATGGAAACAGTCTATTGCACCAGTAAATAAATGGAACTAGTTCTTACCCAAGGATGCATCTTAGGTTCGATTGTGAATCTAGAAAGAAAGATGGGTGAAGCATCAACCAATGATGGCAAGAACCGCAGATACCTATAATCTAACAAACTTAACTTTGCATGGTAACAATCCAAAAAACTCCATTTGCAAATCAAAAAACTAGAATGGACAGAAAATACTGAATTAGCGACAATCAAAGTGAGAATGAAGAACAAAAGATAGAAACATCAAGTAATAATAATAATAACTACGTCAAGAAAATGGCCTACATTGCAATTCTCTTGAGAAGTCCTGGTGAAAATTCTGCAAATCCACCAAGAAAATTGCTATTGGTTCCACAATAATTCAAATGTAATCACATAGGCAAACGCAACAGTAGCATCACTATAAAAATAAGTAGTAATGAAAGAAATAGTAGGATTGCAAAATGACAGTCTTCCTACCTCGTAAAAATTTTTATTGTGGGAGTACCCATCTCATAGTTCAAAAAGTTGAGGACATCTTGCTCCATCTTCACCACCTGCACAATCACCCCTCAAAACATGTACAAGCATTGTGTAAGAAATAATGTATAGAGAAAGAGAGAGAATAAATTGTATGTATTATTATTGATTGATATATTGATATCTATTACAATGATTCATGATTCCTATATATAGAAGAGGGTGAGTGTGTAGTAGGTAAGGAGTAGGTGAAGTGGAAGTGGTAGTGGTGTAGTGGGTTAGGTTTAGTGGAGTAGGTGAGATGGTAGTGGTGTAGTGGGTTAGGTTTAGTGGAGTAGGTTTAAGTGGGTGAAGTAGGTGATAGGTTTTAACAAGAAACATAATTACTAATAGGATGTTGAGTACATGACCTAACCCCCTTCCTATTAGCAATGGGAACATCAAAATCTGAAAAATCAAGAATAGAAGCACTAGAATCAGAATTACCTGGACTCTTAGGAGAGAAGGGGTGGCTCTGGACACTTATCCGGAGAAGAAGTTGGCAGTGGAGGAAGGAAAGTAGTCTCTTGCATCCAAGTGACTTGATGTCTGTCCTTGTCCCTGATATAAACTTTGCCAGCTTTCTTTTCCTCAACAACTGTTGGCTCATCATCCTCTATCTGTTCAACCATTGGCGGGAGTGGAACAGGAATCTCTTCACACCAAGGCTCCCCCTAAAGGGATGACTGTGAGATCGGGAGGGTCGGAAAGTAAGGCTGAGACTAAAAAAAAGTGACATCCATGGAGACAAACCATTTGCGAGTGGGAGGATGATAACATTTATAAGTTATAACCCTTTTTAGTGGCAGAATAACCCAGAAAAACACACTTAAAATACCTAGGATCCAATTTACCACGAGTGTGGGAATGATTATGGACAAAGCAAACACAGCCAAAAGTCTTAGGAGAAAGGGAGAACTCGAAAGGGGTAGACCCGAACAAAACTTGAAGAGGTGTTTGTTTGTGAAGGACTTGGATAGGAAAACGATTAATCAAATAAGGGGCAGTGAGAACCGCTTCCCCCCAAAAGGATTGAGGAACCTGCATCTCAAAGGATAGACAACGGGCGACATCAAGGAGATGGCGATTTTTGCGTTCTGCAACACCATTTTGTTGAAGGGTAGTAGTACATGAAATCTGGTAAATAATGCCATGTGTGGCGAAGTAAGTGGCAAGAGCAGAGTCAATATATTCCCCCTCATTATCAGAACGTAGAATTTTGACAACCACCTCAAACTGAGTACAAACCATTTTATGAAAGTTTTGAAACACACAAAAAATTCCACTTTTATCTTTCATTAAATAGACCCAAGTGGCCCTAGAACAATCATGGTAACAAACCATTTTTACCGGTTAAAAACACAAAACGGGATGGACCCCATACATCAGAATGAATCAAAGAAAATGGAACTAAACTTTTATTAATAAAAGAAGCAAAAGAGACTCTGTGTTGTTTTCCAAGTTGACAAGACTCACATTGAAAATCTGATACATTATTTTTCTCAAAAACAGAAGGAAATAAATGCTTAAGTAATAAAAAAGAGGGATGTCCTAAGCAATGGTGCCACAACCAAATGTCTTTCTTGGTGGATGGTAACAGAATAGAAGAATGAACCAGCTTGTCTGTCTGATCCAGAATGTAGAGCTCATGTTCCTCTCTACCACTGTCAATCCTCTTCCTCGTGATAAGGTCATAAAAAAGACAATGATCAAGAAAAAAAACGTCACGTTACAACTTAAGTCACGGGTAATATGACTCAAAGATAAAAGATTAACACTGAAATTGGGAACATGAAGGACAGAAGACAAAGGAAGAGAAGAGGTGGCATAAATTAAACATTTCCTTGACACAGACGAAATGGTATCATCAACAATACGCACTTTTTCCTGACCTGAAGAGGAGTTATACTCTGAAAATAAATTAGAGAAGCCAGACATATGGTCGGAAGCACCAGAATCAATAATACATGGTACAGGAGTGCCATAAGGCATAATATATGGGCCAACCCATTACACCAATCAAAGGAATAAATAAGAATAAAATACAATCACTTATTTCCTATTCTAACAAATAACATATATCCATTGATGGCACTCTGAATGTAAAGGATGCATGTGTGACATATTTATATCCTCCTAGTCCCTTCAACCATACTTTTAGTTGTCCACCTTAAAAGAAGAATTTAGAGTAGTGCTGAACAAATTTGGAGTAGGCGATGAGTTGGCAGACTATCAAATGCATGAATTATTGCTTTCAATCCTACAATTAAGAAAAATGGCATACATATTTTAATTACTTTGTGTTGCACATTCTTAGGGAGTTCCATTAATGTAAGAGAACATATGACATGAAGTGTCCGACCCCCAGATACGCACCCGCACCTGATACCCATAGCTGAGTCCGTGTAACGTAGATGATCGGAAGCACCAGAATCAATAATCCATGGTACAGGAGTGCCATAAGGCATAATATATGGGTCAGCCCATTACACCAATCAAGGGAATAAATAAGAATAAAATACAATCACTTATTTCCTATTCTAACAAATAGCGTATATCCATTGATGGCACTCTGAATGTAAAGGATTCGCGTGTGACATATTTATATCCTCCTAGTCCCTTCAACCATACTTTTAGTTGTCCACCTTAAAAGAAGAATTTAGAGGAGTGCTGAACAAATTTGGAGTAGGCGATGAGTTGGCAGACTATCAAATTCATGAATTATTGCTTTCAATTCTACAATTAAGAAAAATGGCATACATATTTTAATTACTTTGTGTTGCACATTCTTAGGGAGTTCCATTAATGTAAGAGAACATATGATAGTAACCAAAAGAATGAGTAGGAAGATCCCAAGAGTGAAACCCCCACTCCAAAATTAAGGGAGAAAATGAGAGCAAGAATTGTATACATGTTAGCTTATACTTAAACATTTCAATATATGTTAATGTTGAAATGAATAAGGTTTTAATACATGCATATAGGTAAAGAAAACTGCCACAAACCCTAACGGATGACCACACGCGTCGGTGTGCCATGAGAACTTCTAATTCGTAACCCCCCACAAACCCCAACGGTATATCCGACATTCTTGACATTATGGCTACCAATTCCATCTCATCGAAGGGAGGGCGGCTTACATTGATTAAAAGTGTTCTGTCAAGTATCCCGACCTATTTTATGTCTGTTCATGTGATCCTGGTCTCTGTAGCAAGGCGGATTGAGCAATTGCAATGGGACTTTTTGTGGGGTGATGGGGGTGCGGGTGGTCATTATCATTTGGTGTCATGGGATCAGATTTGTATGTCTAAGGAGCAAGGGGGGTTGGGGGTTAGGAGGTTGGTCTTGTTTAATTTGGCCTTGTTAGGGAAGTGGCTGTGGCGTTTCGTGGAGGAGAGGGAGCGGCTTTGGAGGCGGGTGGTGGTTGCTAAGTTTGGTGTGGATAGGGGGGTGTGGTGCTCGGGACGGGTGGGTCATTCTCATGGTTGTGGGTTATGAAAAGGGATTTGGCTGGGTCGGGAGGCGTTTTGGCGGCGAGTGAGGTTAAAAATTGGTGTGGGGGATAGAGTTCGATTTTGGCGGGATAGATGGTGTGGAGACTTGTCTTTAGAGTTTCGATTTCCTTTGATTTTTGTTATTGCTGCGAATTCTGAGGTGTTGGTGAGTGCTATGAGGGTTGAGGAGGGGCAGTTGAGGGTGTGGAACGTGCAGTTGCGTCGTGATGTCCAAGATTGGGAGCTAGATCAATTAGTGGACCTCCTTGGTTTTTTATATGATTTACATCTTGGACAAGCGGATAACGATGCCTTGGTTTGGGATTGTCCTAGGGCCAAAGGTATTTTCACGGTGTCCTCGTTCTATGGGGCGCTTGTTGAGGATAAGTGTGTTTTTCATGGCACCTTGGTTTATCTGTGGAAGAGTGTTTGGGTGCCGGGTACGCCATCCAAGGTTGCCTTCTTTGTGTGGACGGCGAGTTTGGGTCGTATCTTGACCATTGATAATTTGATTCGTCGTGGGCATATTTTGGTGAATTGGTGCTGCTTGTGCGGTCAGGTAGCGGAATCGATTGATCATTTGTTTATTCATTGTTCGGTCTCTTCTCGTCTTTGGATGCTTGTGGTGGCAATTTTTGCGATGGTTTGGGTTCAACCGGGTTCTTTGTTTGTAGTTTTGCAGAGTTGGGTCGGGGGGAGCGTGGGGAAGAGGCGTCGAAAGGCTTGGATTCTTGCCTTGCGCTATTTACTGTGGCTGATTTGGCTGGAGCGTAACAGGCGGGTGTTTCATGGGGTGGCTCATTCCATCACTTGGTTAGAGAGGTGCCTTCTTACTGTTTTGTATAGTTGGGTGACTGGATTAGTAGATCCAGATGTGTTGGCTTTTACAGATTTTGTGGAGAATTTGATTTGTTAGTTTCGTTGGGCTCTTGAGGCCGTCTTTGTATTCTTTGCATCTTTTTGATGCTTTTTCTATGAAGTTTGGTTATTTATCAAAAAAAAAATACATGCATATATGTAATACAAATAACCAGTACACAATAAGGTCAATGCAAAGAAATACAAAAGATAATGGGTGTTTAACATAAAAATCAAACTGAGTTATAAAGTGTATCACATTTTTTTCTTTTTTTCTTGGCCTCAATGCTGAGAAAGATGTTACTACACATTCATTTCTACAGCTACATACATGTGATTTGGTGGATATAATGATAATCTTGTAAATCAAATACCAAAAATGATGGCAACTCGTAAGAAGCTGGGAATGGCTAACAAAAGCCCAAGCAACTCTGCGATCAACAAGGAATGGAGGATATGAAAATTTACAAAATCTTGATCTGTTCATTGTTGTCTTTTTCATGACCTTCTTCATCCTCTTCATCTGCAAAAGGGAATGACTGGTATTAAACAAGTTATCGAGTTGACTTCAAGAGAAATGGCCCTTTTTGTCTGAAAAGAAACTAAAAAATGTTCAAATCAGTTGCCAAAGTATATTTTATCCACTAAATTCTAGCATCGTCAACTTGATTATCTTTTCCACGCCTTGATATTGGAGAGGTTTATGATTCTTATATTTTTAAGTGATTATTTTTAGTACTTGATGTAAATGGTAAGCTATACACACCTCTAGATACTACTGTGCAGCAAAGAGGTTTGTAAACACTGGGGACGTCCCATCGATCACTTGAATGGTTTTGAGGAGGATATAAGTCCAGATATTGATTATAATGGCAGAGGAGATACACACCTTCGGTCCTCTGATATGCTGACAAATCTCCATCTATAACACTCTGATAAGAAGGAAAGTTGCCATGTTGGATTACTTCTATTCCACTATTTGATAGGGAACACTTCTCTTCATGCTCATACACAAAGTCGGTTCCACATTCCTTTACCTTGAAACCAACTCCAACAACCATTGAAACATTCACTTCATCACCAGCTTGCAACTGATTCCTAAAGTTCCAATGGCTTAACCATATCATATCTTCATTGCCGTGGAATGTCGGGCCATAGATCCATTCCAAACCCTTGGTCTTGTTACTAATCTTAATAGAAAAATCATGCAAATTTCCATCTTTATGAGAGTTTGAACATACATAAACAACGCACACATTCAAGCCTCTTATCTTGAAACTAGGAAGAGAAGGCACAACGAAAGACATCGAAGAATCCAAATGCTTATTGCTGAACCAATATGGAACCTTGCTGCCAGGAAGGAAAGTGCTGAATATACCAAATTCATAGAGCCCCTATGCCATGAAAATGTAATGTTAGATACATATTTATAGAGGCATATAGAGACAGAAACATAGACAGAGACACAGAGAGAGCACCTGAAGGGGCCACTTCTTTCGAGTAAATGTCAAGTTATTGCACAATTCCACCTCAATGCTTCCTTTGGAAACCAAGTCAAGCAAGCCCAAATTGTTGATGATTTCTGGATGAAAGCTCCCTATGGGTTCTAACTGGAACAAGCCATCAATCTTAAACAGTTTGTCGCAACCACTTAGATGCATGACATTCATTGATTTCAACAGGTTTGAAGGAATTGTCATTCTTTCCAGTGATTTGCAATCTCTTGCAACAAGTTCCTTCAAACTTGATGGAAGCTTTGGAAGTGACTGGAGCCTTGTGCACGTATCTAACCAAAGAGACTTGAGCGTAGTAAGGCCACTGATGCTTTCTGGTATGCTAGAAATTGGATTTTGGCTTAGATCCAATTCCAATAACAAGGATAGACCACTAAGGTCCCTTAGAATAGTGTCATCTGATAAACTGCAGTCTCTAAGACTTAACTTTAGTAAAGTGCGTGGGAAAAAAGCCAATGACGGATCCAAATTTTTGCTTGGATTTGACAGCCAAGACCAGAGAATTTTTGGCCAAAAATCACTCTTTCGCTCTTTCCAATGGTAAAGCATGATTGACTTATGGTTGTCCCATAAGCATGTAGTACAGTCAAAGGTTTCAATTTCTCAAGCTCCATAGGCAACATTTCAAGGTTTGAGCAACCTGATAGAATGAGTTTCTCAAGGGATTTTAGCTGGCCAATTTTTCTTGGAAGCTTCCTAAGATTTTTACAGCCTTTTAAATTCAAAAGAACAAGTTTCCCTAGGTCCCCAATGGATTCGTGAACCTTGACCAAGCATGTACAGTCCTTAAGCAATAGTCTTTCAAGACTACAAAGTCCTGAGAAGTCGGGGGTTCTGATAAGGCTATGGCAACGACTGAGATTAAGAAATTTCAACAATTTGAGAAACTGAGAGAGAGAGAGAGAGAGAGAAATTAGTCCTTAGAAACTCAAATTTAATCAACAAATTCTACACAAAAGTGGGGGGGGTTTACCTTTCTTCCCTTCCAAACTTGTTCCAAGCTGCTATTGCGCAAATCAAGAGAAACCAGGCTCTCCAAAGGAAAATTTCTAGGTATAGATTTTAAAGGGAATCCACGCCAACACAACAATCTTAATTTCTTAGGGAACCCTTTATAGCTTCCACCAAGTTGCACACAATTAAGTTGGAGCAGTCTTAGTTTGTGCATCATCGCAAATGCATCAGTTTTGAAGTTTACCTCCTTCGGCATGGGTAATAAATTTGTGAACACAGTGGTCATTGATTGCCAGGAGAACAAGCCAAGACGACGCCGTTTCCATGGATTGCTTTGGCAGGGCATAATGGATCTGTCTGGAATATCTTGCAAAGGGTATCGTTTTGCATGACTATTAAAAGTTGTCATGGAATACTTATCTCTAGTCGACATATGCATATTGAGGATGAGGCCTTGAACCCTTTCGGTACCCTAGTAGCCCAAAAAAAAAAAAAGTGTCATTTAACAAGCACGACAGAAAAGCTCATACACACAAATAAGAAGATTTTTTTATTTCTTTTTTATTTTAGGAGACCAATAGGAAGCATGTTTCTTACAGTTTTTTTACTCAACACATGAAGGGAGTCGTCATGATCGCACACTATTCTTCGTTTCCCAGGCTCATTGGGTGACTCTTGGTGAATAATTTTTCTTGCCATGTCACGAAGCAATTGATGCATAATCAACTTATTGCCTTTTCCCATTGTTATAAGACCTCTATCCATGAGGTTTTCAATTCCTACTGTTGTAAATGAATCACATTCATCTAGTACTTTAACCACATATTCCTTGTCCTTTCCAACAAAAAACATAGCTATGTTGAGGAATAATTTCTTGTCATGATCATCTAGTGACAGATAGCTTATCGCTAGTGTTTGTAGGATTTGATTGCCTGTGATTGCTTCCATTGTCTCTAATGCAGTTTCCCATTCCTTTAAACTTCTGCCGTAGAGAGAAGAACCCAATAGTTGAAGAGCCAAAGGAAGCCCTTTGCAGTGCTGTAGTACACTTTTTGAGTATTCCAAGAAACCTTCAATAGGATGGCTTTGTCCAAAGGCATGCCAACTGAAGAGCTGGAGTGATTCATTATCATCCAACTCCTTAACCTTATGAGTCTCATGCACTTTATATGCCTTCAGCAATTGCTCATTCCTAGTTGTTACGATAATTTTACTTCCCGAATCAAACCAATCTTGCATTCCTAGTAGTGCATTTAACTGATCCAATTGATCCACGTCATCAAGAACAGCAAGAACTCTTTTACAACTTAAAGCATTTTTAATCTTAATGATTCCTTCATCAACACTGCCAATTTTTTGCTTTCTACCCTTCATAATATCCGAAAGAAGTTGTTCTTGTAAACGAACCAAGCCATTGGGTTGTTTTGAAGTCTCTCTAACATCTGCAAGGAAGCTACTCCGTTCGAATCTGTCAAAGTTCAAGTTATAGACAGTTTTGGCAATGGTTGTCTTCCCTATTCCACCAATTCCAGATATCACCACTATACCAACATCAGTTGCCCCGTCTTGTAACCAAACATTAATGTCTTTGACTCGAGAATCTATTCCAATTTGGTGTTGGGTAACACTAAAGACTCTACGATTCAATTTGTTCCGGATCTCTTTGACAATTTCTTGGATGAACTTTGCTTCATGCCTACAAATTGTGATCAAAATTAAAAACAGAGCAGAATAAGCATTTCATAAGTTAGTTTGAATAAAAAATTCAAATGAAAACACTAAAAACATAAAACAAATTTCATGATTTTAATTTTTCCCTATACCATACAAGTAAAACATCTAGAACACTACATATTGAAACATATCTAAAATTAATGAAAGGATTAGTTAAAACTAAATTCAAATAAAATTTAATTACAGCAAATTGGCATGTTAAAAATAGCTCATATTTACTATAGTAACTAACAAATTTAGCTTATTTGGGAACCAATTAATATCCAACACTAGAACTCATTGAGAGTCTTTCTTTGCTGCGATTATCTACAACAATAGAGAGAAGAAAGCTGGCCATGTATAGACCCATTCTTCTTTCTCAGCATGTACAATGAGATCTTTCACACACAATGCCTTTGTTCATATAAGTTAGTAGTGAAAACATGGCCCCAAGTTTCCAAGTCCCATTTCAAAAGTTCTATTAGGCTAAGCACATGAAAGTTGAATTTAAAACTCCACATGTCAAAAGTTCTATTCGGCTAAGCACATGAAGGTTGAATGTCCCAATTACTAAAAGAACGTACCTATTATGACGTAAAAAGAAAAGCACTATTCTAAAAGTAGACACAATTCTAGATTATAATTGCTAGATCTATGGAGCAAACTCATATGGAATCATCATTATTAACCTTTTTCCTTTTATCTGTCCTACATTATTAATTTGGTTCACAGCAAAAAAACGAAAAAACAAACGAAGAACTACACATGGTATAAAGTACAAGTCATTTCATATATACACGAAAAAGCTAAAATGATCATGTCAAATAAGAAACTCCTCCACAACTTGTCATCTAATTGAATGTTGGGCAACTAAGAAACAACATGTAGATAAGATGAGTGTTGCTGAGATGAGGATGCTAAGGTGGCTGTGTGACAAGACTAGAAAAGACAGAGTTAGGAATGAGTATATTCGAGAATGGGTAGGAGTAATACTGATAGAAGATAAGTTGAGAAAGAATAGATTGAGATAGTTTGGTCACATACAACAGAGACCAATAGAGGCAGTAGTGAAAAGATGCGATACAGTGACTGTACATGGTAGTGTTAGGAGAAGGGGTAGACCTAGATTGACGTGGACTAGTGTAGTAAATAGAGATATGAATCTCCTTAATTTGACTAATGAAATGGACTTGGAGAAGAAGGATTCATGCAACCGACCCCATTTGATAGGACTTAAGGCTTGGTTTGGTTTGGTTTGGTTATGGTCTCTTATTTTTCAAAATAACAAGCTTGTTACATGGACTCTTCTACTTACCCCAGTGCACTTGTGTCCACCTGATATGACATGGGTAAAGGTGTGGAATGTGTCTAACACCCATACCCAATTTAGACACTTCTTGTAATTTTATATGATATATGAAAGAAAGACACTCAATTTTGCTAGTAAAGAAACTTTTCTAGTTTCTCACACAAATAGGTGATATAAATTCCATATTTCCCCGAATCCCATTTGATTTTAAGTAAATTTTTAAATAATGTACAATGTCTTATCTAAGAATTATATAATAAGCAAAAAATAAGTGTTAAAGGCGTATCTCTGTACTCATATCCAACTTTTGGATGCATATCCCAATATCCTAACATTTTGGTTTAGGAAGATCTAAGCTTTCACATGCACCAACACTCGCAGCTGCACACAATACCCATACCTGAGTCCATATAACATGGCTAACAAAACATTTACATCCTTCCAACTTCATTTCGTTGTTTCAAACTCTTTTCTAATTAACATATATCCTTTTAGAGTCTTTATGTCATTGAAATATTAAAAACTTAAGCTATCGTAGATTCGTAGCCCTTAAAAGTTAAAATAATCCTTGAAAATATTATATTTTCATCAAAACTTTCATTAAGAAAGCAATCAAATTTTACTTGTCCTTTTATAAAATTCTATATAGTTTCAGAGGCTACGTATAATTTAAAAGGTGGTAATAACTGAATGATAATAAGGAATCCTAAACCTAATAGTCCCTAAAAAAGGTTTTTGAGCAAATTACCCATCAGCTTGATCTTGTAAGACCATCCCTTTTACATTTGCAACTTCTTTGAGAGCTACCTTCCACCTCTCCACCTTTTCCATCCATTCCTTTTTCCTTTCATCTGTTTCCACCATAAATTGCTCTTCATGATTGGCAAATGCTTCTGCAAAACTCCCCATCTGCATCTGAACTTCAGACGGGTTCACTTTATAGAAGATTGGCAAAATTTTATGTCCAACAGCCTTCCTCCGTTGGAGAATTTTTAGAAGTTCATCAAGGCACCATTCTGACAAAGCAAAATCTTTTGATAAGACAATTATTGAAATCTTGGATTCATGGGTTGCTTGTTGAAATTCTGACTCCATATCTTCTCCTCTCTCAAGCTCATCATGAGCTCTAAAAGTGTGAATTCCCGCACGCACCAGTGCTGTATAAAGATGATCTGTAAAGGACCAACCGGTGTCTTTGTTGCTGAAACTCAAGGACACCTGATAAGTACATCGAGACGTGGAAGGGGAGGCTTTCTGGGTCCTTGCAGCAGCCATTGGGAAAAACTCTGCACATGGATAGCTGTAGAAGACGAATTTTGAATTAACTGAAGAAGCGATATATTCAAAATCAATGAGCCAAATTAGTTTGCAAAATCATAAAATCCATATGAAAAGATGACTAATAGGGTCAACATCCACAAGGGAAATTTTAAAAAGGGTAAATTACTCCGACCTTCTCTCAGGATTGAAGAAAATACAAGCCCCACCAATTTAGTATAATTACACTGGGTTCCCTTATGTTTTAATTAATATAATACTTGGCTCCTTTTTCATTTACATTGAAATATATATTTTACCGTATGTATCTTAGTGTCTTTATATCATATGTATTAGTTTTGGTCTCTTTAACTTTACTAAAAGAGAAATTAATGTAATTATGTCAAAACTTTAAGACTTATTGTATTTTTTCCAAATTTCAAGACAGTTCAGTTTAATTTACCCTACATAAAATTATCAAATCAAGGTTTGTTGAACCAAAGCCTTGGAACTAACTTGGTAAATTATCCCACCATTTCCTTCCTAGCCAAACATGATAATTTATTCTTTATTGTTTAATGTGACCAACACAGTTCATGCATCTTCCAGGTTGCTCACATTGCCGTGTTCAATGTTTCTTTCTTGCTCCAACAAAAAGGAAAATTCCTAACTTCTCTATTCATTTCAATCTCTCCAATTGATGGCAGGTATAATATGGCAAGAAATGGTCTTTTAACTCTATAGGTTGTTTGAAGGCTGGGTTTGTTTGGTTTGTTTTTCAGAAAAAATTTTGGAAAAAATTCTCTACAAACAAATTTTTAAGAGTAATCAAACCAAATAAATTTTTTCAAAAAAAAATCTCAAAATTTCGTTTGGTTACCTACTTTTCAAAATCACTCTCTCTCATACACATCAAATCAATCACTTTTTTTAAAATTCTCTTCCCAAAATAATTTTCCAAAACTATTTCTGAAAAAAGATAAACCAAACAAGTTTTCGTATTTTTTATCTCAAAAACTACTCTACAAACACAAACCAAACACACTAAATCTTTGGCTTAATGATTAAACTCACTGGGACATCAGACAAAAGAATTTAGTTCTTTCTAGGAGCTCAAGTAAAAAACGTCAGCACCGGCTTTACTAACACCCCAGTAGGAGAAAATTTTCAGGTTTTTTTTTTTTTTTCGATAAGCAAAATAAAGGACAAATTCATGGAATCCATCAGTGGAATGCAAAAAAAGCATGTTAAGAACAAACCGGAAGTGAAGCGAACATGAATGTCTCCCCTAAAAAAGCCTAAAACAGATCTAACTCCAATGTTTGTCAAGCAGACAAAAGATTAATAGGTTACCGATGCCAAGCCTCCAATAGCTAGTAAACAAATGTTTTGGCTGTGAATTAGTGTATTGGAAACCCACCACTAAAGTTTTTGGCAACATCACCAAACTCCACTAAAATAAAATAAACTATAAAGTATTACATACATACTATGAGAACTTCTCTTGAAAGAAGGTTAAATTTTATTTATTTATGTTTGTGGTCCGCTACAAAAATTTTAATTCATTGAGGCAAAACAACATACGCCCGGTCTACATCCACAGTTCAGGCAATGTGGAACTTTCCACAAACATATTAACCCTTTTCAATCTTATAAACGTAGCTAATAATATGCAATTTGCCTTCTACACATCCCCAAAAGCTCAACCACCCAAAATCTTTCACTCTCTGTGTATATGAGTATGGAAAATGAATATAATTATGGAAAATGAGTGAGGCCCTTTTTTGGAGGACTCTTACAACCCGTGATTCACAGCACTCATGATGTGGGCCTCACATGAGTGGTGTGAATGGTTATGGGATCCTAAAAAAAAAAGGAGTCTCATCATTGTTGATATAAATATACATATATCTATATGTATAAGCATGGTGTGCATTGGGTCTATCAAGAAAGTAGAATGGGTGGCCGACCAAGGAAGAAGAATGGTAAAAGAATGCTGGGTTTTACCACATTAAGCAAAAGCATAAAAATAGTAGTAATCATAATTTAAATTTTAAAAAAAAAGAAAAAGAAAAAAAGAAAGAACATGATCAAGAAGAAAAACAAGAGGGCAAAATTACCAACCAATCAAGTGCGTTTGATTTGAGTTTTTTGAATTAAGTTTTTTGAAAATTAAGTTTTTTGGATTTCGTATTTTTTTGTTTTTAGTGAATATTTTTTAAATTTTAAACATTTTTTTTTAACTTTTTAGATGCACCTTACTTAGATGTATCTAAAAAGTAAAAAAATTGTGAAAAAATATTTAAAAAAATTAATAAATACATAAAAATATAAAAAATATACTGAATTCTCGTTTTTTTTTTTTGTATTTTGGGTATTTAGTGAATTTTTAAAAGGTTTTCTTCATAAATTTTTTACTTTTTAGATATATCTAAATTAGGTATGTCTAAAAATTTTAAAAATTGCTTAAAATATTAAAAAAAAATCAGTAAAAACAAAAAAACACGAAAAATAAAAAAATATAATTTTCTGAAAAGTATTTTTTGAAAAGTGAAACCAAGCATAAGCTGCAATCTGGATTGTTGTTGAAAGCCAAATATTTGGTTTTTGATTGACTTCTATCTACACCCACTGACACCATTTTATAAAGAAAAAAGCTTAAGATCCCTAATTTGGAAATCTCATAACTTTTAAATATGTGTGATTGGTCATGTGTGTTTTTATTTTATTTTTTTGATTTTTTTCCCTCTCTCACATAGAATGATCATGCGTGTTTTTATTTTATTTTTTTGATTTTTTTCCCTCTCTCACATAGAATGATATGAGAATTGTGCGATAAAATATTTATAAGGGTCTCAATCATTACTTTTATAAAGAATTATAAAAGTTGACTTTATAGAAAAACAGGACCTCTATATGTCCTCTGTTTTCACAAATATAAATAGCCTCTTCAATCACTTTATTGTCTGTATATGTATATTATGAAATTAGCTCTGTACATGTTATGTTTTTGCTACCTGAATTTGTGATATGTGTTGACTATTGACACTAATCATTTATTGTAGGCTTCAAATGGGGCAATAGGACCAATCTACAACCAGTCAATTCATAATTTCAAAATCTTACAATCGGCAAAAAGGATTTGAGAGAATTACTTATCAATTAGACAAAAGAAAAAAAAAATACATAAACATGCACAAAATCATTTGTATCTTCCATGTTTCTGTAATTGTTTTTCTCTGAAAGTAATTTCTCCAAAAGATTTCAGATGGTGAATACCTTCAATGATGGCGATATGGGTAAGAATTTAATTGAATAAATGTCAAATTGGGAATTCCAGTTCTGCTGATCTTGTATGTATACCATAACTTTTCATACTTAATGCTTTCATGCAATGACAGTTTCTTTTTTCTCCTGTGAACATGTTAAAAGGTAATTGCTTAAAAATCTCTACAACGAGAAAAATCAACAAGTGCCATTGGGTGTGTGATCATGTTAAAAGGTAACCGCTTAAAAACCGCTACAATAGTTTCAACAAGTGGCATTGAAGCAGCCCAATACAAGCAGAGCAATTTAATTTCGATATTTAATTGACATACCTATAGAAAGCATTGAATGAGTTATGAATTTTAAATATTTTGATGTATGGCACAAAAAATAATAAGCCGCTTAATTAACATTTGAGCTCATGCCTTGAAACTTTAGAATACTACTATTAAATAAACTTGGCTTTGTTGATTTTTTTTCTCTTTTTTTTAAAACAAAATTAGTCCAAAAAAGTTTCATATCTTCTATATGAAGTTTGGCTTAAAGAGATTTAACAGTGCCTGACTTCGATATTACTCTTTTAGTTTCTTGATCCTCTTCTCTGACATTGCAGTCATGTTCTACTAGTTAGAATCTTTAGCATCTTCATGCAATATACTATGTGATGACAATCAGTAAACGGTAGGTTTACAAAAGTGATTGGATCCACGGTCAAGCTAGAGTAATCAAATGGCCTACAAGTCTCGATGTGTTTATCCCATAAACAAATCTTATCAGCTTTTTTGACTTAAAATAAGTTGTTAGAATCAGAAACTGTTTGAAATAAGTTTAACCAAACAGTCCAAAATAACTTTTTAAAAGGCAGAAGCCATAAGTTGGCTTAAAAAAGCTGCACCAAACACCCCAATAAACTTGGCTTTGTTGATTTTTTTTCTCTTTTTTTTTTAAACAAAATTAGTCCAAAAAAGTTTCATATCTTCTATATGAAGTTTGGCTTAAAGAGATTTAACAGTGCCTGACTTCGATATTACTCTTTTAGTTTCTTGATCCTCTTCTCTGACATTGCAGTCATGTTCTACTAGTTAGAATCTTTAGCATCTTCATGCAATATACTATGTGATGACAATCAGTAAACGGTAGGTTTACAAAAGTGATTGGATCCACGGTCAAGCTAGAGTAATCAAATGGCCTACAAGTCTCGATGTGTTTATCCCATAAACAAATCTTGAGAACTCAGCGGTGGGTGTCCTTCTCAAGGGCCTTCCGATGATCAAGCTAGTTCTTTGAAAGATAGAATTCTCAGGAGGTATGTGGAGAGATGGATTTGAGATAGATACTACAGTGCATGTTATGGTTATATGTATAGAAAAACCTCTAAGGGGGGAGTGTCCTTCTAACGTACCTTGCTCCCTTCACGGTCCCTTGGGACATGCGCAATAATACTGTACTTACAGGTTCACGTTTGTTTTATTCTGGCTCAAACCTATAAAGATGCCTCAACTAAGCAAGCATTGTCGTCTTTTGTCAATTTATGAGCCCTAACTGATAAGGACAACGGACTTGGGATCCCGAGCTGAGCTGACAAGTTTGGGTTGGCCCGTATTTATCTATAGTCATCACTAATTAACTGAATATGGGTATTATTACTCTCTTATTATCAACTTGTTCTGTTTGTGAAAATGAATTTAGGAGCTCAATATTAAATCAGGTAAATTACATTAACACTCTTTGAGATTTTTGTTTAATATAGATTCTCTTTCACGTTTGAAAAATTACGCTTACCCCCTATCAGATTAAAATGACATATTTGCTCCTTAACTTTTATACATATAAAATAATGTTTATATTTTGTTTATGTCATTTCAAGAGAAATAACAATTATCTTCTTCGGTTTAACTCACACAAAAAAATAAATTTTTTATTTTCCTTGTTTTTTTTTATTAAAATTTTAAAATATTTTAAACAAATTTTTTATTTTTTAAATACACATAATCTATATATACTTAAGAAGTATAATATTTTATAATTTTTTTTATTAAAATTCACCAAATACAATATATATATATATATATATATTCAATAATACTGTAATAAACGTGAATGATGGCGTTTGGTAATACTGTAATAAATGTTGGTGAATAGACGAGAAAATAAAATGATAGTGGAAATAAAAATAAAAAATTCTATTTATATATAAAAATTTATACAAAAAATATCATAAAAATGTTGTGATAGTGATATTATTGTAAATATAAACCATATTTATGGGTGTTTTATTTTAAAGTGAAAAGTCACCATTAAGCTATATCATTGTGTTTGAAAATTTTATATAAAATTTATGTTTGTATATCATCACTCAATAAGAATATGTTCAGGTTGAATTTAATAATAGAAAATTGTAGAATGTAATCACGATGATAGGAAGAAGAAATGATAGGCAAAAGAGCAAAATGGTCATTTAGAAAAATTATAGGTAATGACATCAAAAATCCAATGGCAATTTGTAATGAGATTATAAACCTCAGTGAGGGGAATATAACTTTTCAAATGTGAGGAGATCTATATTAAACAAAAACCTTAGGGGGTGTCAGTGTAACTTACCCTTAAATCAAAGAAGTTTTGGTAAAATTTTCACATATGAGCTATTACGCCTATAAGTGGGGTGCCTCTATTTACACACCACATTTGGTCTCAAGATACATCACTACTAAGTTTACACCTTTAATAATTAAAAAAAAAACATAAGTTTTCTCAACACCCACCACAACATTTCATTTTTGTCCTTAGTCCCACCCCGCTTAGTACACACCTCAAATTTAAAATAATAATAAAAAAAAATCCTAACTATTAGACACTTACAACCTGCAGCAGCCATCACTGGCAACCACCATCAACGCCAACCATGGCCACCGCTGTCAACCCTTTCTTCCGTCTTCGCAACTGTCATTGCCCACTTCCCAGTCCCGTAAGTCGCCTTCATTCCCAGAGACCCACCACCTCGCAGATCACTACCACCGTCTTCAACCCCTCCCTCATCCCTCGCGTTTGCCGTTACCTCCTTCTTAGCCCCATCATCGCCTCCTTTCGTAGATCACCTTTACTGCTGTCAACCCCTTTTCTCACTTGCGCTCCGCCGCTGTCCCCTTCCTAGCCTAGTCGCCCCTCTCTTCCAATACCAACCCCGTAACCCACCACCTTGTAGATCGCGAGAATACAAATCGCAAGAGAGAGAGAGAGATCGCCGGCGAGGGTTTGTTGTGATGGGGATTCGCCGGAGCTGAAGAGGGGCGATGAGGCAGAGGCAGCGGCAGTGAAATGGCGGCGACTGCAACAATGGTGGCTAGGGTTAGGGTTTGGATGTTGTGTATTCAACTAAGGTGTGTATTGATATTCTTTTGTAGTTATTTTGGTCATTTTAAGTAAGGTCATTATTGTAATAAAAAATAACTAATTAATGGTGTTTCTTGAGACAAAATGTGGTGTGTAAATAGAGGCACTCCTATGAGTGATCTGACAACTTTATTGATGAAAAACAAAGTAAATTTGGCCAATCTATAACCCCTGATCTTAGAGATCATTGCAAACCACATTTCAGACCCTAAAACCCTTTTATGATCCTTTATTAGCCAGTTAACAAAGGAAAATGGATACACATTTTCATAGAAATAATCACCTCAACTTACAGAAAGCGGGGTCGAGAATAACACATGTAACACATATCATTTGAAACACCACAAAAGCAGAGGCGAAAGTCTCGTGTACCCCAGAATTGCTTCGAGTTTACTTGATGACATATAAATCTATGATGGCAGAGCAGCTCCACTGTTTGATGTTTTGACTTGTCCGCATCCTCAACATTCTTGTCAGAAAGATAGGTGTGCTGTTGGAATACTACTACAGTATTTGATGCAGTACCTTCTTCTTGCTCGTACACGAGGTTGATTCCACACTCCTTTGGCAGAAAACTTTTAGCCATAAAAACTGAAACATTCACTTCGTCACCACCTTCCAACTGATTCCCAAAATTCCAGTGGCTTAACCATAACATGTCTTCGTTGCCTTCTGGAATGCCGTAAAATGTTGGACTATAGGTCCATTTTATACCCTTCGTCTTATTAGTAATAATGGCATAATGCACGTTGTCAAAGGAATCAAATCCATCATCCAGTGGCTTGAAATTGTTGCTAATTGACTCATAATCATAACTCCTAGATTCACATAGTGCATAGACGATGCATAGATTTATGCCTCGGATTTTGCGATTAAGAAGTGGCGACAGCTCAAAAGAAATTGAAGAACCCGTACTTTGATGGCTAAACCAGCCTGGAACTTTGCTTCCTGGAAGAAAAACGCTGAAAACACCACATTCGTACAATCCCTGCACCATTTGAATCATTAAAGAAATACTATGGAGAGAGAGAGAGAGAGAGAGAGAGAGAGAGAGAGAGAACCTGGAGTGTCTGCATCCTTCTTGTGCGCGTCATACTGTTAGCCATCTGAACAACAATGTTTTCTGTGGATTCCATGAGTAAGCCCATACCATTGGTTATTTCAGTGTCAATGCTTCCAATTGGTTTCAGTGTAAACAAACCTTGGATCTCAACCAGTTTTTCGCATCCAAAAATTTCCAAGTGAAGAGATTTTAACAGGTTTGGTAGATTTTTTATTCTTTCAAGCGACGTGCAATGTTTTGCAAGCAAATCCATCAAACTTGAAGGAAGTTCAGGGAGAAATTGTAACTTTTTGCAATTGTCTAACTGAAGGGACTTGAGCATAGTAAGTGCTTTAATGCTCTCTGGTAGGCTATGAATTGGGTTTTCACTTAGATCCAAGCTCTGCAAAGAGGGTAGGCAACTAAGATCATTGGGAATAGCATCATCGGATAAATTACAGTCCACTAGACTTAAGCTTACTAAAGAATGAGGTAACAATGCCAATGAAAAACTAGTGGGCTTAAGACTCGATGATTTCCTAAATTGAAAGAGTTCATGCCATGAATTACCCTCTTGAATGGGAGCATTTAAATTTTTTACAGCTATTCGATCGGCGTGAAACACTTTTAACGATTTCAATCTCCCCACTTCCTCTGGCAGCTTGTCGAGTTTTGAGCAACCAGACAGAATAAGTTCTTGGAGAGACTTCAACATACCAATTTTTCTCGGAAGCTCTCTGAGACTTTTGCAGTTCCCTAGATTCAGGAAAACAAGTTCCCTTAGGTCTCCGATAGACTCATGAACTTCTACCAAACTCACACAATCTTTAAGCATCAATCTCTGAAGACTAGGAAATCCTGAGAAGTCTGGTGTTGTGGTGAGGCAATGGGAATGACTCAGATTTAGGATTTTCAATGATCCAATAAACTGCAAGAACCAACAAAATAAAAAGGTAAGAAATTAATATGTAAAAATGTAAAATTCATCCCAGAAAACGAGGGAAGAAATAATTAGTTCCATACCTTGGTTCGCTTCCAAAGTTGTTCCAAGCTACTGCCCCGCATATCAAGAAAAACCAGGTTCTCAAGATGGAGATAGTTTGGAATAGACTCTAAAGGGAATCCATGCCAACTCAGCCATCTCAACTTCTTTGGAAATTCTTTCCAATCACCAGTCAGTTTTACATAATCAAGCTGTAGTAGTCTTAGTCTTTTCATTCTCGCAAATGCATGAGTCTTCAAGCTTACCCCTTTTCGTTGATAGAATCTGCCAAAACGATATCTATTGAAAGCAAAGTAATGGCAAAGTAGTGTTGACATTCCGAAGATGTCTTCAGAGTAGTGTTGTGTTTTCCTGGTACTGTCATCTTTCTCTAACATATCCAAATTCAGAGTGAGGCCTTCAACTGTTTCTGTACCCTGATAATTAAAATAAAATAAATAAATAAAAATACTAATATTGATATGTAATGAACACACAACTGCACAGGCTGTATAAAACATTAGTATGTACATAAACGGAAAGATTCTTACAGTTTCTTCTCTCAGAACATCAAATGCAACCTTATCATGCCAGATCCTACTTCGTTTTCCTGGCTCCTTGGGTGATTCTTGGCGAACAATTTCTCTTCCCATGTCTCTAAGCAATGGATGCATCATCAACTTGTTATCTTTATCAATCGTTAAAAGACTCCTATCAATGAGATTTTGGATTCCGATTATTGGGTAGAAATCACATTTGTCTAGTATTTCAACGGTGTAGTCTTTGTCCTTCCCAATAAAGAAACAAGCAATATCAAGGAATAAATTTTTGTCATGATCATCTTGGAGAGAGTCATAGCTTATTTTAAGAATATTTTGAATTTCACTATCAGGAATTGCTCTCAGTTTCTGTAGTGCACTTTCCCATGTATGTAAGTTTTTGCCACATAGAGAAGAACCCAAAACTTGAAGAGCTAAAGGAAGCCCTCCACAATAATATACAACGCTTCTGGACAGTTCCATGTACCCTTCAGCTGGGTTGTCTTGTCCAAAGGCATGCCAACAGAAGAGATGAAGTGATTCATCATTATTTAATTTTTTAATCTTGCACTTCATGTATCCTTCTAGCGACTTAAGCAATGGCTTATATCTAGTTGTTATGACAATCTTACTTCCTGAACAAAGCCATTCTCGCTTTCCAATTATTGCATATAATTGGTCCACTCGATCAACATCATCAAGAACAACAAGAACTCTTTTGCAGCATATAGCATCCCTGATCTCACAGATTCCTTTATCGACTTTGTATATTTTTCTCTTCTTTCCATTTATAATATCGGACAAAAGTAGTGTTTGCAAATGAATCACACCGTTAGGTTGTTCTGAAGTTTCTCTAACATTTGGAAGAAAGCTGCTGCGCTCAAATCTATCAAAGTTTAGGTTATAAACAACTTTGGCTATGGTTGTTTTTCCTATTCCACCCATCCCACAAAGCACGGCAACGCCAACATTAGTTGCCCCATCTTGTAACCACATACTAATGGTTTTTACTTGAGATTCTATTCCAACTAGGTGGGAGGAAACATTCAACATAGTGCGATTTAGCTTATCAACATTTGCTATAACAATTTCTTGGATGAACTTCGCCTCATGCCTACAAATTGGCAGTGAAGGAAAAATTAATTACAGATTATCATTGATTTAACATCAAACACAATGGATTAAATGTCATGATAGGAATGATATGATGGAAGTTGAACAATTTGTATCACGAACTAGGTTGCAAATAACTCAAAGAAAGAATGAAAACAATATGCAGAACTTAAACCGAATCGAGCAATATATATATATATATATATTTTTTTTTTGATAAATAAATCAAGCAATATTCTAGTACCACCTAACCTATTTGAATGAGCATATTAATCAACTCATTTCTAGTTCTCTTTTGGTTATTCTTTTTAAGGAGTGATGTATATCATACAAAACACCTTGAATTGAATGGCAACTTACTGAAGTTCTCTGTACTTGTCTTCCCCTGATTCATCTTTGTCGTTAGATATTATTTACATAAGAAATTTTTTGCAGTTCAAAATTATGAATAGCTTATTCTTAAGCTCATGCATTCCATGTTTGATTCCAGTTTCCCTTTTTTTTTTTTTGGCAATTCATACACTCATTGAATTGTTTGGTTTTATAGGCAATGCATTCATTGGATTACAAAAAGGTAATATATTTTATATTTACCAAAAAAAAATTGGTTCTTTCTCTCACTACAAGAAAAATCGCCAAAGGTCCATTTTTAGTCGCTAAAAATCAAGTTTTGGGTTTCCCCGACTAAAACTTTTAGTCGCTGCCTTTGTCGCCAATAAATGGTCGCGGGAGGTATTGGCGACTAAACCTGTTTTAGTCGGCAAAAAGGAGCCCTTTTAGCGACCAATAATTTAGTCGTCAATAGTGTTTTACACTTTTGAAAATCATACATTTACCGACTAATAATTTAGTCGCCAATACTCAATCAAACGCCGACTAAACCGTTTAGTCGCCAAAATAAAGACTTTTGGCGACTAACTTTTTAGTCGCCGAAGGTGTTTCCGTCAAAAAAAAAAAAAAAGAGACTTAAGCAATGGCTTATATCTAGTTGTTATGACAATCTTACTTCCTGAACAAAGCCATTCTCGCTTTCCAATTATTGCATATAATTGGTCCACTTGATCAACATCATCAAGAACAACAAGAACTCTTTTGCAGCATATAGCATCCCTGATCTCACAGATTCCTTTATCGACTTTGTATATTTTTCTCTTCTTTCCATTTATAATATCGGACAAAAGTAGTGTTTGCAAACGAATCACACCGTTAGGTTGTTCTAAAGTTTCTCTAACATTTGGAAGAAAGCTGCTGCGTTCAAATCTATCAGAGTTGAGGTTATAAACAACTTTGGCTATGGTTGTTTTTCCTATTCCACCCATCCCACAAAGCACGGCAACGCCAACATTAGTTGCCCCATCTTGTAACCACATACTAATGGTTTTTACTTGAGATTCTATTCCAACTAGGTGGGAGGAAACATTCAACATCGTGCAATTTACCTTATCACCAATTGCTTTAACAATTTCTTGGATGAACTTTGCCTCATGCCTACAAATTGGCAGTGAAGGAAAAATTAATTACAGATTATCATTGATTTAACATCAAACACAATGGATTAAATGTCATGATAGGAATGATATGATGGAAGTTGAACAATTTGTATCACGAACTAGGTTGCAAATATCTCAAAGAAAGAATGAAAACAATATGCAGAACTTAAACCGAATCGAGCAATATATATATATATATTTTGATAAATGAATCAAGCAATATTCTAGTACCACCTAACCTATTTGAATGAGCATATTCATTAACTCATTTCTGGTTCTCTTTTGGTTATTCTTTTTAAGGAGTGATGTATATCATACAAAACACCTTGAATTGAATGGCAACTTACTGAAGTTCTCTGTACTTGTCTTCCCCTGATTCATCTTTGTCGTTAGATATTATTTACATAAGAAATTTTTTGCAGTTCAAAATTATGAATAGCTTATTCTTAAGCTCATGCATTCCATGTTTGATTCCAGTTTCCCTTTTTTTTTTTTGGCAATTCATACACTCATTGAATTGTTTGGTTTTATAGGCAATGCATTCATTGGATTACAAAAAGGTAATATATTTTATATTTACCAAAAAAAAATTGGTTCTTTCTCTACTGTCACCAGATGGTGTGAATGTTTTTGGTTGTGTGTTTTTTTGGTCTTGTTAGTTCTTTCTTTAGTTACCTCTGCATGTGCAAGTGAGCGAGAGAGAAAAATAGAGAGATTTGAGGGCTGCGGTGGAGAGGGAGAGGAGGCCATGGGGAGGGGTGGCTGTGGGAGGCAGTGGTGGTAGTCCGGTGGAGATGGCATGGAAGAGGGAAGAGAGGTGTAAGGACAAACAGGGGTTTTTTAATATTATGGATTTGAATTTTATTACAATTTTAGATTAGAAAGAGAATTGTAATATAAATAAATAAAGAATGAGGGGTGTAATAATTGGTTTTTGTGGTGTAAATAGAAGCACCCTACAAACATAGGGCCAAAAAATAAAAAAATAAAAAACCCATACACATGCATGCTTTCTTTTTTGCTTAATTAGCAATTTATTAAATAATGTTCTTATCTTTTCTTTGCCATAAACAGTAACAAATAAGTTGTGGTGATGCAGAAGACAAAGTACTGTTCTTAATTCCTAAAACACTTTAAAAAAACATAACCAAATGGTACTTGTGAAAGGACTGTTTGAATCTTACCCTTTGGTTTGATTTTGTAAGACCATCCCCCCCAAATCTGCAACTTCTCTAAGCGCTGCCCTCCACCCTACCACCTTCTCCATGTGCTGCTGCTTTTTTCTGTCATCAGTTTCTTCTTGGAATTGCTTTTCATGCAAAGCAAGAGCCTTTGCAAAACTCCCAGTTTGGTTCCTAACCTGGGTAGGATCCACGTTATAGAACACAGGTAGAACAACATGTCTAGAGGTACTTTTGCGTTCAAGGATCTTCACAAGTTCATCAAGGCACCAACTTGAAGAAGCATAGCCTTTTGAGACAACAACTATTGAAATCCTTGACTCTTCGATTGCTTTAACTTGATATTTTCTCCTCTCTCAATCTCATCATCATCTCTAAAAGTGTGCATTCCCACATTCACCAGAGCAGTGTAGAGGTGGTCGATGAAGGTTTTGAGAGTGTCTTAAAGGACTGTTTGAATCTTACCCTTTGGTTTGATTTTGTAAGACCATCCCCCCCAAATCTGCAACTTCTCTAAGCGCTGCCCTCCACCCTTCCAACTTCTCCATGTGCTGCTGCTTTTTTCTGTCATCAGTTTCTTCTTGGAATTGCTTTTCATGCAAAGCAAGTGCCTTTGCAAAACTCCCAGTTTGGTTCCTAACCTGGGTAGGATCCACGTTATAGAACACAGGTAGAACAACATGTCTAGAGGTACTTTTGCGTTCAAGTATCTTCACAAGTTCATCGAGGCACCAACGCGAAGAAGCATAGCCTTTTGAGAAAACAACTATTGAAATCCTCGACTCTTCGATTGCTTTCTTCAGTTCTGACTTGATATTTTCTCCTCTCTCAATCTCATCATCATCTCTAAAAGTGTGAATTCCCACATTCACCAGAGCAGTGTAGAGGTGGTCGATGAAGGTTTTGCGAGTGTCTTTGCCTCTAAAACTCAAGAACACGTGATAGGTACACCTAAACAGGGAAGATGATGCTTCCTGGGCCCTCTCAGAAGCCATTGAACAAAGCTCTAAAAGATGTGCCTTGGAGACCACAATGGATATAAACTTGTAGAGGATGTCAAGAACAATAAGAGCTGACAAGAAAAGTAAATGAAGTAAATGATTCCTATAATAATCAAGGTCAATAAAAACTAAAATAAAAAGAAGAATACTCTGCCCATAACATACTGATTCATGATTCTAAAATGAGGCTTAAAGCAAATGATCATATGTAACGAGAAAAGTTCGCAACTTGCTAAACATGCTTCCAAATGACTCCAAAACCTTCTTGATTTCAATTTTCAAACATAAATGTGATGGTGGGTTGGCCTAGTGGATGAGGCACTCCATTACAAAACATGATGTTTAGATTCAAATCTTGTCACTGTGAGTGAAACTTCCTTTCCCCTATCCCTTTCCTATCAAACGTAAAAATAATAATAAAATATAAATAAATTTTAAAAAAAACATTTCCCATTTCTCTAGTCTTCGTGTGTATTCCCATTGTTCCTTTGGCTGGACCACTTGTTACAGTTATTATCTATTAAAAAAATGTACAGAACCATTGAATAACGTGTCTTCTAGAGCTAGCAAAAGCCACCACCATTTTTGTTGACAATTTTGCCTGTCCTTGGGATTCTTTTCATATTTGAAGAAATTATTTGAACAATTTCACTTGGTTTGACTTTTGGGTCATGCATCTAGATTAACAGGTTGGCCATTATATGCCCTTTACACACTCAATTTCATTGAAAAGTGCATGGTAAGCACATGTACAGGGGAAGTGACCAAAACTTCCCTGAACTTTCACTAAAGAAGAAAGCACATAATCAAGGGATGCATACAATTATACAGCAGGGATACATTTGACTGAGACTAGGGGATTATTTTATTTTATTTTATTTTTGAACAGCAAAGAAAATGAACTTTATTGATGAAACAGAAAAACTATTACATCAAAAAAGGAAAGGAGGAGGAGTGCAGAAAGCATCATAGCGAACCCAATCAATCCCAACTAAGTTGGCACCGATAAGACCGCTCAATCATATGCTAGCACAACCACAAGAGTTGGTGAGGAACCAACCACAAACATCAAAGACTACCTCACCCAAAAAAGCATTGACCACACCTAGAACAAACCAAGCAATCAATCTACCTACCACCTGCAGCAACCTCGAGCATTCAAACTACCTAACAACAAAACAGGATATATATTCCTAATCACCAGCCTCTCTGATCAACCAACCTCAAAGCAGCAGCAAAGGAGACTTGAGCAGCAGCAAAACCAGAGCAACCAGCAGTAACTTGGACTGTGTTTCCCACCTTGCCTTCAATTCTACTACCTGCTTTACTTCCCACAAACAGATTGCAGGAGACCAAAGCAGTCCAAAACATGCCCAGCAGTCCAAGGCAGTTCAGAATCAACATGCCCAGCAGTCCAAATATAACAACTAACTCCTCTGCTAGGAGGCCAGAAGTAGTCCAACATGCCCAGCAGGCAGCATTCTACATCCCACTTCAACCCACTCCAAGCAGCATCAACATTCAGAGCAGCATCAGACCACTGAGACTAGGGGATTATGACCGACTGTTTATTATGCTATATAACTTGCTTTGGTCCATTTTTCAGTTTTCTCTTTCCACAAAATAGATAACATGTTTACTTTTATTTCTGCACCAAAAATAAAACCAAAAAAAAAAAAAAATGGCACACATATATTCAAAACAAATAAAAATTAAACAACATATTTGGTGAGTTGCCGAAGGAGGCTGGAAGAGGTTATCAGAGGGGAAGGGGGGAGTGATCACAAAGGGTTGCCAAAAAGTGGAGAAGGGGTTTGCCGGTGCAGGGAAGAGGAAATGAAAATTTGTTTCGAAAACAATAGAAAACATTTTTTTTTGTGTTTTTGCATTTTTCCACAATGGCTGTTTAAATTAAGAAATGATATTTTTTGTTTTAAAATGACTGTTTAAAAAAAAACTCATCCATTTCTGTTTAAAAATTTTGATATCGTATTGATGTTTCGAGAGACTCCAGATGAGGTCATTTGACTGGAACTAGTGTAAAACCTCTGCTTCCAAAATTTTGGTTTAGACTCAAAGCTGAGTCATGTTCAAACTTCTAAATTTCTAAAAATGATGAAGATACTGTAAGTTAGTCATGACAGTAATATATTTCTTGCTTGAAAATTCTTCTGTCCTAGCAAGGATCCTCACATAATATGGAAGCATGTTGCTATGGTGGGCTTCTTTTGAAACATTTATTATCTGTCTTGACATGAGCAAATGAAATATAATGCCAGCATAGTACCTACTATAAAGCTGATTCTGTAAGTACTGGGGATCAATTTTTATGCTTTTGCTCGAGTGGCCGAGCCTAACTACATTTGAAAAGTTTTCATGCTTCATACTGGTCAGTGACTTCCCAAGTCATTAGAAAGCAGAGTGAGAACATCAGATTGATTAATCCTAAAATTTTGTGAAAGATGAGAACATGACCGAAGTACATGGACTATTTTGGCTTGCAAAACATCAAGAGACTTTCGGATGTATTAAATGCAAAAGTGAAACATGAATATATAAACATAATGACACTAAATTTTAATAGACAAAGACTTGTTATTATAAAAAGAAGGGCAAATTACATATACCCCCTTGAGGTTTAGCAAAATTACAGATACCCCTGATGTTTGAGAAATTACAGATATCCCTGAAGGTACTATTTGCATAACAAATTAGAGGGCAAATTGTTATGAAAATATAAACCTCAGGGGGCAATTTGTTATGAAAATATAAACCTCAGGGGGATATCTGTAATTTCCGAAACCTCAGGGGGTATCTGCAATTTAACTAAACCTCGAGGGAGGCATATGTAATTTGCCCTAAAAAGAACCAATACAATAAAAAATATTTTAGTGTGCATGTATACAGTGCATACCACAAAAGCCACCCTCTACCATCACCATTGTTGCCTTGCTATCACTAACAGGTCATTATAAATTCTTCCCCCGCTCTGTCTATGACTATGAAAATCACCAATTATCCATAAAAGTAAAGTGATTCTAAATGCAAAATTTTGAAAACAGAAATAACTGTAGGTGTTTGATGACTATCAACAGCTCAACACCTCACACCTTGATGGTAGAATGTGCGGACTGAAAACAGAAGCCATCGGGAGAGCAAGAGTGAGCACCAAGGACCATCTTATTCAACTTATCATTGCTTCGCCTCCTTACTGCCAACCCAATATGGTCATCAGTTCCTCCTCATCATAATTGTCATCATCATAAAAATCATCACTATCATCTTCCTCTTCTCCTTCTCCTTCTCCTTCATATGTTGAGCCTGCAACATATAATAAAAAATCATATAAAGCACAGGAAAGGAGCTTTTATGAAACAATGTAGATTTGGAACTATCAATATCCCAAATCAACAATAATTTATGAAATGAGTGACCTCATTTTTCTATCTTCTTTTTTTTCCTACGCAACACGCACCTGTACTTTGTACATTGTCTTGAAATAAGTTTTCATACAAAATAGCCTTTGCTGGTTGACTTGAGCCTTCTGCAAGCATGAAGTACTCGGAATGTGAAAGGAAGTATTCGCCACTTCTCATCTGATATGCTGACTCAACACCATCAGTCACATTTTGCAAAGGATGGGCAGTGTTCTGGTTGATGACATGTTCTTCTTCAATTTCACTCTTTGTCGATATTCGCTTCTGCTCTTCTTGCCCCTCGTACATGAAGCTGATCCCACACTCCTTTATGCAGAAAGCAAGACTCCACCCAACCACCGACACACTCACTTCATCGCCAACTTCCAGCTGATTCTCAAACTTCCAATGGCTTAACCATGTCATATCTTCTTTGGCGTCTGGAATACCTAGGAAAGTTGGGCTATATACCCACTTCAGACCCCTTGTCTTATTGCTGATTTTGATAAAATATGAATTCCAATTGGATTCACCCCAAAACCGGTATTTCTTATCCCTGGAACGTGAGTATACAAAGCATGCATTGAAACCTTGCATCTTGAGATTAGGTTGTGAAGGGACACTGAAAGATATGGTGTGTCCCTTAGCCTTATGGCTGAACCAGCCAGGAATCTCATTCCCCGGAAGAGAAGTGCTGAATATACCAAATTCATACAGTCCCTGTGCCAAAGTAAGTGAAAGCATTTAACTCAAAAGTCCCGAGAGAGAGAGAGAGAGAGAGAGAGGGCACCTGTATAGGACATTTTATTCTTGTTTTTGTCATATTGTTGAACAATTCCACCTCTGTGTTTTCAATGGATTCCAAGTTAAACAAGCCCAAACTGTTGATCATTTCCGGGACAAAGTTTCCAATAGGTTCTAACCTGAACAATCCCTGGACCTCAACTAACCTGTTACAACCACTCACATCCAAAAACAGTCTATTCAACAGGTTTGGTAGATTTGTTATTCTTTTCAATGATGTGCAGTTTTGTGCCTTCAGCTTGACTAAACTCGATGGAAGCTCCGGCAGTGATTGGAGGCTTGTGCACGAATCTAACCAAAGGTCCTCAAGCATACAAAGACCTTTGATGCTCTCTGGTAGGCTACAAATTGGGTTTTCGCTAAGATTCAAGTACTGCAACAAGGACAGGCTGCTAAGATCAATGGGAATAGCAGCATTCGAAAGATTGCATTTTGCAAGACTTAATTTCACTAATGTGTGTGATAAAGAATCCAAAGAAAAGTTGAATTCTGGGCGCTTTCTTTGTTTTGATAGCCAAGACCAAAAGAACGACCTCAATGATTTCAACTCACCATTGGTAGACACCAATTGGTTTACAGCAATTTTGTCTGCGTGGAATTCCGTCAAGGATTCCAGCTTGCCCAGTTCCATGGGCAAAACGAGCTTTGAGCAACCAGAGAGAATGAGTTTTTCAAGGGATTTCAGCTTATAAATGTTATTTGGAAGGTTCCGAAGATTTTGACAATCTCTTAGATTCAGAAAAACCAGTCTTTCTAGTTCTCCAATGGATTCATGAACTTCAACCAATCTAGTGCAATCTTTAAGGATCAATCTTTCGAGATTGGGGAGTCCGGAGAAGTCAGGGGTTTTAGCAAGGCCATGGGAATGACTCAGATTAAGAAATCTCAATAATCTAAGCACCTGTAGGAGGAGAAAACAAAAGACAAAACAAAAATTAATGTAGAATTAGTTCTTCAGCACAAATTTAATCCCAAAAAATAAAGAGGTAATGTAACATACCTTGGTTCCTCTCCAAACTTGTTTCAAGCTGCTATTACTCATTTCAAGAGCAACCAGGCTCTCCAGAGCAAAATCATCAGGTATATATTTTAAAGGAAATCCGCGCCAATACACCCATTTTAATTTTTTAGGTAATTCCTTATAGCAGCCAGTGAGTCTAACATAATGGAACTGCAGTAGTCTAACTTCATGCATCTTCGCAAATGCATCGGTTTTCAAGTCTGCCTCATTTGAAATCTTTGAGATAGCATCTATTGAGTGCTTCAAGATGTCAAGTCGACGCCGTTTCGACGATCTGTCTTGCTCCATCAGCAGTATTTCATCAAGAACTTCCTGGGAGCGCTGCCGTTTTGCATCATTATTACTGAAGAATGTTTCAACGGGCTTGTCTTCCATAAACATTTGCATGTCAAGCACAAGGCCTTCGATTTTTTTTGTACCCTGATAATTGAACATTGGATAAGTAACTTCCATGAATGCAAGAAAACATAAACATAGTAGTGGGAAACATGCTTCTTACAGTTTTTTCACTTAATACGTAAAGGGAGTCTTTATGATGCCAGAGTCTGCTACGTTCCCCAGGCTCCTCTAGCGATTCTTGGCGAATAATATCCCTCCCCATGTCCCGAATCAAGTCGTGCATCTTCATCTTGTTATCTTCACCAAGCATTAAGAGACATCTATTAATAAGATTTTGAATCCCAACTATTGTGTAGAAATCGCATGCATCTAGTATTCTAACCGTGTAATCTTTGTCCTTTCCAATAAAGAAGCAGACGATATCCAAGAATAAATTCTTGTCATGGTCATCTTCCAAAGAATCATAGCTTACCTTAAGTTTTTTAAGGATTTGACTGTCGGGTATCGCTTCCAATTTCTTTATTGCACTCTCCCAGACATCTACACTTCTGCCAGACATTGAACAGCCCAAGACCTGAAGGGCTAAAGGAATCCCTCCACAATGTTGTAGCACTCTTTCTGAGAGCTCCATGTAACCCTCGGCAGGATGGTCTTGTCCAAAGGCATGCCAACTGAAGAGCTGAAGTGATTCTTTATCATCCAACTCCTTAACCTTGTACATCTCACACACATCACGAGCCTTTAGCAATCGCTTGTGTCTAGTTGTTATAATAATTTTGCTTCCGCGAAAAAACCACTCTCGCATCCCAAATACAACATTTAATTGATCCCAGTGATCCACATCATCAAGAACAACAAGAACTCTTTTGCAGCATACGGCATTTTTAATCCTAAGGATTCCTTCATCTACATTGTATACTTTTTTGGCTTTCCTCTTCAGAATATCGGAAAGAAGTTGCCTTTGTAAACCAACCAAACCATTAGGTTGTTCCGCAGCTTCTCTAATATTTGCAAGAAAGCTGCTACTATCAAATTTGTCGAAGTTTAGGTTATAAGCAGTTTTGGCAATGGTTGTCTTCCCTATTCCACCCATACCATAAATTGCCAATACACCAACTTCAGTTGACCCATCTTGTAGCCACAAATTAATGTTTTTGACTCGAGCATCTAAACCAATTGGGTGGGGTGCAACATTCAAAACAGTGCGATTCAACTTACTTCCAACCTGTTTAACAATTTCCTGGATAAACTTTGACTCGTGCCTACAAATTGCAATCAGTTAGAAAACAAAGCAGACTATGCATGTCTTGAGTTGAAATGAACCATAAATTCATATTGGGAAGCTTTTAAATCAAAACAAATTTTATGATATTTGATTTTCCCATTACCAAAGAAAATCAATAAGAGACCCCCGTCAATAAGGACTAAACTGAATGTAGGAGAAAATTCCCGAAACAGATTAATTGCCAAAATGTAGTTTGTCATATATGTGGCAGCTATCCATGATGAATGTATACAAGATTAAATAGAAGAGCAGTTTGGATAGAAACTACAACCAATCTTCTTTTACTTTACAATTGCAAAGCACAAATATATATATATATATATATTTATATTCATGGATGATTGGGTAAAATATTGGTAGAAAGTTGGTTCCTGGATTCCTCTGAAACATTGGTTGTAACTTATGTTGGAAAGATCCAATAGAATTATTAGAAATTTAGAGGCCAAACAAATAAACAAAAAAAGAAAAATTTTAAAATATATGTATATATATATCAAAAGAATGAGAAGATTAGGTGTGAGCTCTACCATTGTTTGTTAATAGAACATTTCATCTATTGATTTATTGACTTTATTACATAAACTCTTAAAGTTCAATTTGCAGTATAGATAATCTTCTTCTAGGTATCATTAAGATCACAAAGGCAAAGATCAGATCAGATCAGATCAGAATCAGATATTGATCATAACTTTATGCAGAGCTATAAAGTTTCAAAGATCATACTAATAGAAAAAGCAGTCTACAGAGTGGGTAAACTAAGCAATCAAACAACAACAACAACAACAGTAACTTAATAAAATCTCAAAAAGTCTTCAACAAAATTACCCATCAGCTTCATTCTGCAAAACCTTCCCTCCAAGATTTGCAACTTCAGTGAGAGCCTCCCTCCACCTCTTCACCATTCCCATCCTTTCCTCTTCATGCCTATCAAATGCTTCCCCAAAGGGCCCAGTCTGATTCCTCACATGAGATGGATCAACATCATAGAACACAGGCAAAATGACCTGCCCAGAGGTCTTGTTGCGCTCAACAATCTTCACTAGCTCATCAAGGCACCATTTTGAAGAAGCATAGCCTTTGGAGAACACAATTATGGAAACCCTAGATTGTTCTATCGCTTTTCTGAGTTCGGAGTCAATGTCTTGGCATCTTTCGATCTCGTCATCGTCTCTGAAAGTGTGAATTCCTGATTGGGAGAGGGCTGTGTGGAGGTGGTCGATGAAGGTCTTGCGGAGGTCTTTGCCTCTGAAACTCAAGAAGGCGTGGTAGGCGCACCGGGACATGGAAGAGAAAGAGGAGGAGGCTTGTTGGTCTCTTGCAGTAGAAGAAGCTGCCATTGAAGAAAAGCTCTGAGAAATGGATGAATGAGTGAGAAGTCCTTCAATGCAGAAGACGACAAAAACAGAGCGAATAAAATGAATTCAATTTTTTATAGCAAGTGGGAAGGATTGTCTCCGTCTGTGTCGAATTGGAGGATGACGTTGAGTCTTATTAATTTATTAGGGATTCTATATAAATCATTCCAATCGTTTAGGTTAAGTTTTGCATCTTTAAAATAATTTATCTTTTTATTTTTTTATTTTTTTTTTATTACATCACCTTTCTACTTTTTTACATATCCTTTTATAAAAAGACATAAAACAACAGAAATTTTAGGAGAACAGCCCATGAAATATTGGGAAAGAAATAAAATTTTAGCTAGTCTAGATATAAAAAATAAAGATTATAGGATTACCTCAGCACAAATAAATTATACACCAGCAGACATAGAAGAATTTAAAACACAGGTCAAGGAATTACTAGATCTATGAGTAATTAGACCCAGCAATAGCCCACACAGAAGCGCAGCATTTATGGTTAGAAATCATGCAGAAATAAAAAGAGGAAAAGCTAGAATGGTGATAAATTATAAAAGATTAAATGATAATACAGAAGATGATAAATATAATATACCAGATAAAGACCAACTCATAAATAGAATACAGACAGCAAAAATATTTTGCAAATTTGATTGTAAGTCAGGATTTTGGCAGATAAAAATGGAAAATGAAAGCATACCATGGACAGCCTTTTGTTGCCCTCAAGGACATTATGAGTGGCTAGTTATGCCCTTTGGATTAAAAAATGCACCTTCCATATTCCAGCGCAAAATGGATAGTATATTTAATAAATATAGTTTTATACTGGTATATATAGATGACATATTAGTGTTCAGTCCAGATAAAAGTAGTCACATAGATCATTTGTATATAACATTAAAAGAATTCATAAATAATGGAATAATAATCAGCAAGAAAAAGATGGTATTAAACAAACTCTACATAGAATTTTTAGGAATGGAGCTAGGAGATGGAAAAATTAGGTTACAACCTCATATAGTCAAGAAAATTTTAGACTATCCAGATAAATTAGAAGATACAAAACAACTTCAATCTTTTTTAGGAATTTTAAATTATGCACGAATGTATATTCCTAACCTCAGTAAAATAATAGGACCCCTTTATAGTAAAACCACACCCACTGGACAAAAATACTTCAATCAGCAAGATATAGCTCTAGTAAGAAAAATAAAAGACATTTGTAAAAACCTACCAGACCTACAACTTCCCTTAGAATCAAAATACATAGTTGTAGAAACAGACGCAAGTCAATTAGGATGGGGAACAATATTATTAGCTAAACCCAGTAAATATGACAGTAAAAATAAAGAACGCATTTATAGATACAGTTCTGGCAAATTTAAAGAAAAAGATACAACTATGACCAGCCTAGATTTTGAAATACTAGGAGTATGCAATAAATAAATTTAGATTATTTTTACACAAACCTTTTACAATAAGGACAGATTGTGAAGCCATAGTTAGATTTCATAACAAACTAAACGAGCGTAAATTAAGTACTAGAAGATGGGCAAAATTTTTAGATTGTATAGTAGGGCAGGGATATAAAGTAGAATTTGAGCATATTAAAGGAAGCGATAATAAATTAACGGACTGGTTAAGTAGAAAAATTTATTTAGAAAAAGAAGATAACCAGTTTAATTTTTGTGCAGATAATGGAGAACAGCAGGACCATGAACTTTGGGGGATTTTCTCTTCCCATTCATGAAGGCAGAACCAAGTTCAGACCCTTAACAGGGATTGAGCTAGACCCAGTTCAACAGTGTCTTTTAGATAACCTTTGGAATAGTCAGAACCACCCAGCTAAACGCCTTTCAGCCTTAAACTCTCTCAGTATATATTTTTCAAAAATCCAAAACAAGCCCCTGTCTAAAAGTTTTTCTTTTTATGTAGTAGCTAAAGGAACCAAGCTTGGTATTTACCATGATTGGATAGAAGTAGAATCTCTAGTCAAAAATTTTCCTACACCTCAGTTTAAAGGATTTTATGATTTTGAGTCAGCCAGTACTTATGCCCGAAGACAAATAGGAACCAGTTACTTTATTAGCCAGATAGCCAAAGATTACCTGGACACATTGAGCAAGATGAGATCTACCATCTTTGCTACCAGTGGCGTTCCAGTTAGCCAGACAAGTGGAAGCAGTAGTACAAGCAGCAGTAGTTCTAATCCCCAGATAGACTCCCAGAATCCGCTCCAAATGTGCAGACATTGTGAAGGCCTTTCCAGAAATTTCAAGAAAATTATGGATAAAGGCAAGAAGGTCAGTGAAGAGCTAGACCAGCTCCGAGACGAAGAAAAACAATTGAGAGCAACCATTAGAACCTTAACCAACCAGCTTAAAAAATTAGCTCAAGAAAGAACACCTACCTCCTTACCTAGCCCAGAAATCAAACAACTCACCAGTGAGGAATTTGACCAATTGAGTGCTAGAGTGTATTTCTTCAGGCATTCTATCATTCGATCCCTTTGTGAGAAAAGCCAAGTAATGGAAGACCTAAAACCCTATATTTATACCTTAGCTGGAGATAGCAGAAACGACGAGTTAGTCATTATTCAGCAGTTTCTTCAAGATCTCTCTATAGCAAGAGTTGACTGCCCCGGCCTAGCTTACCAATGGACCTATACCTATGAAGATGAAGAGCAACCCTGCCTAGACGAAGAAAGATGCAATAAGAGGTCAGAACATTTTGGTAGATGTCAGTGTAACCTTGACTTCAGCATTTGCCTTTGCCAGATAAATTTAGCTACATTCGAGCCACTGGAGATAGAAATTAGGGGCGAAACTCGTTATCTAACAGCCCCAAAATTGTTAGATTACGGCTTTGTCTCTAGACTAATTTTCACAGATCCAGATCAGACAGATAACTTCGGATACAAGCTTGCTCATGCAGTACTGTGCGTAATGGAAGAACATCATCCGTATGTGGAAGTTTTAATAGATAGCAAACTACCAGAGTGGAAGGAAATATGGTGCAATCCAGCTAAACACAAAATGTACCTCAGAGGAACCTCCACATTTCCGGGATACCCAGGACTTCTCAATAGGAGACCCTGGCCATGTAGAAGATTTTCACTCAAAGACCAGCTCAATAAATGGAGAAAATTTGCTAGAAACTCTCTCTTAGCCTATAATGGAAATTATGGACATCTAGTCTGTGAAGATAGACATCAAAAGATACATTGTAATTTAGCCATCCCAGGATATCCATTCAGCAAAGAAACATTTGTCGATGAAAGTCAGTACCCGAACTACCAGCATGGCGTCTCTCATGAATCACCAGTAATGGGAGAAAACGATCAAGAATGGAGCGATGAACCACCCATGGGAGATGGGGATGACTTTTACGACCAACTCTCAGCAGCAGATCTTGACGACCTAGCAGACAGAATGTATGGATAAAAAAAAAAGAAAAAAAAAAGGGGTCCCACTACAAGACTCATAATATATTTTAAATTTGACTCTTTACATTTTGAAGATTTTCCACGAAGACCCAACTTTGAAAGAATCACTCCAAGGGTCGACATCAATAATTGGCGCTCCAGCAAAAGAAGACAAAGTCCATAGAAGATAAGGATTCTCTTCAGATATCAGAAAAATGCACGCCAAAGAAAAAACAAAAAAGATTTTGCAAAGTTTTTGTGTCTGTAATTATTTGAGTCTGTCAGTGATAAGGATTTTCCTTCACTCACTACTTTAATAAAGTAGATATTTCTTATCCTGCTTTATTAAATAAAAGCTGTGAAAATCCTTATACGTGTCCTGTAATAACTTATAGTGTCAGAATTTTGTCAAAAAAGAAGGATTGAATGATATGTGATGGGGCCCAAAGCAGTACCCAATATCATTATCCTAATCTTTTATTGATAAAATTTTATCCTTAATAGTAACTCACGTCTAAATCTATGCATTTATGGCATAGATATTATTAGTCTAGAGTCATAGATATTATTAGAGTCAAGATTAGAATAGCCTTAGCCTTTTAGACTTTTTGTTTCTAGCCTTTTAGGCTTTTGTTTTTAGCCAAAACATTTGACGTAATGTTTTGGATTGTATATATCAACTTTGTGTATAAATTGGCTTGCATGCCAACGGATGAAGTAGAATGAAAAACACCACTTCACTCTACGTTGTAAATTTTCCAACCCCTCTCAAAAAACCTCTAAGTGTATTAAGTTTTTCAGAGTTTCAGAGTCTGTAATATAATCTCTGTAAGTATATTTCTTATTAATATGAAGTGTGAGTAGTTTCTCTTTTTCCTTAAATATTTCGAAAGGGTAACTCTTCTATTCAAAAAATTTATTTTCTTTTTGGAAAAACTAAGTTTATGGAATGCTTGTTTGCTCATTAATATTACATGCTTTGAACCTTCGTAGTATCTTCAGTTTTCTATTTTGTTACTGAGTGACCTTAGCTGAAGAGCCCGTGAGAGCCGTGGTTAGGCGTTGGAGGGCAAATTGTAGGCAGAAAGGGAAAAGTAAAAAATAGAAAATAAAAATATACTATGTTGAACGAGGCTTAGTCTCAAGGTGGGAGTACATGTAATGAAAACAAACATTTCTTAAAAATAGTTTTTACCATAGAAATTTTTTTTTTAGAATAAAAGGAGAGCAACCCGAGTAGCTCATCTCAAATAATTCCTTAATGTTTAGGATTTGTCAAGTATTTAATGTCTTAAAATTATTTTAATTAAATATTAATAATTATCTGATTAAATTATATTTATATTGATAATAATTATTATTTTAAAAATAAATTATTAATATAAATATTTATTCAATAAATTTTACACGTCAAATAATTTAAATTATCAATACGAAGCCACCAAAACCCAATAATATATTCAAGGAAAATGACTGGTAGCTCGAAAGTGAAGGGTCGAATGGGTCGAAAATATTCTCTTACCGGTAAGAGAATACAAAAAAAGCCTAAAACGACATCGTTTTGGGATTTCGAGCCATTCGACCCCCTAATATTCCGAGCTACCAACCGGAGTTGTTCAAATTGACAAAATCAACTGGAGCCTCTTTC